TGTTTTTAGAAGGGTACCTGTTACTACAAAAAGTTGCCTCGATTCTTTGAAACTAGATATAGCTCTTTAGATGACCGCAAAGGGGCACAATAAGTGACAGTGGGATATATAGATAAAAAGGGGTACTTATTAAAGGGCAATTACATCAAAAGTAACACGTGGAACTTATATTGTATATACTTATACTTATATTTAAAAGGACACTTATCAGAGCTCAAAATGGGTATTTCTCATACCCAAAAAGGGGCACTCATCAGAGATGTAAGGGGGCACTCTTTGAAGGAAAAATGCAATTATTACAAACTAAGGAAAAGGGGCACTTTTCAGAGGTAAACAGGAGCACTTCTCGCACCTAAAAAGGTGCATTTATAAGATATTAATTGGTTCATTTATTACAATTTAGTACAACAGTACACTTGTCGAAGTAAAAAGGGATCCTATTAGATTAGAATAGGGAAATTCATCAGAAGTGAAATGGGGCACTTGTTAGAAAGAAAAAAGGGCACTCACCTAAAGTGCAAAGATACACTCTTTCTATGTAAAAAGGGGCACTCATCAGAGGTGAAAAAGCACTTTTGAAAAGGGGGAGGGACACTTATCTGAAGTAAAGGGGCATTTTCCCGAAATAATAAAGGGGTAATTTTGGGGTGCTCGATAATGGCGAAAGTTTAAAACAAATCGGACCAATGATAAGAAAGTGATGGATGCTTGGAATATAAGATCACTACTTCTATGCGAATCTCAAATTAGCAGTTTGGTCAGTGGAATGTGACGTAGTCGCGGGTAACTCTCCCGTTTGTCGTGTGAAAAAATATCATTGATTTCTGTTTTTCTCCTAGAGGCCTTCACTCTTGGGTCCCTGAAAAAAAATCGATGGATTGCCTATTATTAGTCCTCTGAACAGAACTGACCCTCCTAAGTCATACATTTCTGAAAAAGTGAATGTTAGTTATTTTGTGTGTTGGAATGAATGGGAAAGTTGTCCGCCACTACATTACAGATACGTGACCGATTCAGCCAATTTGAAGAGCCCATTCCTAAAGCGATTACATTTGTCAAAAATTCATAATTTTCTAATTTTTTGTCCGATTTCATTCAAACTTTCACCAGTCTACATCTCTAATAAAAATAAAGATGTTTTAATGACGTATTATAATGCACCAATACTGCTCAAGCAGACGACATCCCATAAAGAATGAACATAATTGCAATGCTATTATTTCTCAAATTATAATGAATTTAGTGTATATAAATCTGATGGCATTTTATACCATTCAAAAGGGAATGTGAAACCTATTCTGATAACTAAAACCTTTTGTTTGTAAACAAAAACAAAAAACAACAGGATAGGGGTTAATCAACAATCAAAGAAACCAGACTTTAAAATTGAAAAAAAAACCCGGAATGATAGTATAGACGGCATTTGTTCCCTCTTGAAACGCTGAACAAACCGTGGTGTATATGTAGCTAAAAATACAATGGCGTCTTACTTTGTTTACAAGCGACAGATTCCTTTATTTTGTTATCGCTGCATTTGTTATCAAAATAATACTATGTGCGGGGTTTTTAGTGAGGCAATAAATTAAAAATTTAGCCTGACGGTAGTAACGTAAGAAAAAGAGAGCTCTTCGGGTGCTATGCCGGGGTTGTATTTAAGCGTTTTGTAATTGATAATAATCATTACTTCGAATGTTTCCAAGCATTGAATTTTGATAACCTTTTCCATTCAAATATTCACCTTTGCAATAATCAAGTTAGCTTTTAAAATCAATAAACATCTAATTTAAAAGGTACCCTATAGGGGGCTTTTGACCTACGTTAAGTGTGCTTCAGCCCGAACTTGTCAGAATATGATTTTAACAATCCTTTTTAAAATGGCAGTTGCTCCAGTCAGAACGAGTGTTGACAGTGACTTAGGTTTGTCAGCATTACTATACAAGGCATACAACAGCCCAAACAGATAGTGACAGGTAGACGTGTTCTTTCTATTTCCAAATTGATTTGGATCAATTTTGGCTCAAATATCTTCCCACAGCCATTTTGATGCTGATGAAGACGATGATGGTATTGGTAATAATAGATCCAAATTTGTAGTCGTATACATATCAGTTCACGTATAAAGTGCAAAATAGATTTCATACAGTTTAGAAGAGAACAAAACATATTCCCAGACATACCAGCAAAATAATGTTTACAAATTGTGTAATTCTAATACCCAAATATTAATTAAATAGCAGTCAGTAATTACATATGTGTTCCAATGACCTTCGGTGAAAAATTGTGTGATGCCTACTGAATAATTATAATGCAATAATTGTTGTTCTGTGAATGTACAAATTTAGTTGTTAACATCTGTTATTACAATATGTTATACTAAACCTTTACATTCATGGACAAAGAGCAATTGTTTACCTTGAAATTCCAAGAATTTCAAAAGACCATGAGATTTATAGGTTAGTGGGTAGGAAAATGCGTGTTTTAGCAGTTGTATAGAATATGCCAAGGTAGTTTAACAATGTAAATTATGAGATGCATGGCTCGATGTGTTATCAGTGTCTGTGATATGATGTAATATTGAATCCTGAAAAATGGCGCTTCAAAATGATCAAGAAGTGCCTCCAAAAAGTAAAAATCTTTGAGTGACCGGTTTTACCATACTCGTTTTCCCCTTTAGACTGTAGTGTTATGAAAACCGTTAGCAAACGGTTTTTTTCAAAATTTGTAATTTCAATCATAAATATCTTGATAATCAGACAGGCGATCGGCTTGTAAAAGTCATGGGGTTCCTAACTAACTTAAAGGTTTATATTTATCAGTGCAGCATGATCTAAATCCAGAATTTTGTTTAAGAATCTGAGACAAAGTTACCGGATCCCTTTAAAGGGGCAAACGTTTTTAATAGTGTGGAAAGGACACACTTATACTATAGCTGTGAACACGAGCACGATTATGTTTCTAAAAGGGGCACAGTTCGTTCATATAATATTTGGGCATTGTACCCCCTTCCCCCTCGGCTACAACCTTTTATTGTGGTTTTAGAAGGATACCTGTTACTACAAAAAGCTGCTTCGATTCTTTAAAACTAGTTATGGCTCTTTAGATGACCGCAAATGGGCACAATTTGTAAGCTACAGTGGGATATATAGATGAAAAAAGGGGTACTTATCAAAGGGAAATTACATCAAAAGTAACAAGGGGAACTTATATTTTATATAATTATACTTAAATTTAAAAGAGCTCTTATCAGAGCTTAAAATGGGTATTTCTCATACGTAAAAAGGGGTACTCATCAGAAATGTAAGGGGACACTTCTTTGAAGTGAAAATGCAATTATTACAAGCTAAGGAAAAGGGGCACTTTTCAGAGGTAAACAGGAGCACTTCTCGCACCTGAAAAGGCGCACTTATAAGATGTGAAATGGGTGCATTTATTACAACAGTGTACTTGTCAAAGTAAAAAGGGAACCTATTAGATAAGAATAGGGAAATTTATCAGAAGTGAGATGGGGCACTTGTTAGAAAGGGCACTCACCTGTACAAAGTACAAAGAACAAAGTACAAAGATACAATCTACCTATTTAAAAAGGGGCACTCATCAGAGGTGAAAAGGGGCACTTTTGAAAAAAGGGGTTGGACACTTATCTGAAGTAAAGGGGCATTTTTCAGAAAAAAGGGGTACTTTTGGGGTGCTCTAGAATGTGGGGCGCACTGTGTTTAAAGTGATCCAATTTGTCTAAGCTTTCAAAGGATATAGTTTCAATCGACAGGATAACCTAAAATTATTTGAAACAGCCTATCAACATCTTGTCTTATTATCTAAGATCTACCTGTTCACTTGTCCGTTGCATCATTTCAAATTGCATAAGATGTGTATTAAAGGTGCATGAAAGTTTTTGTCTCGAACAGGACATAAAAACTCATAAATGTACTAACCTCAAAGATTTAGTAAGTACAAGAAAGAAAACTTGTTGATAAATTACCAAAGAAATTGAAAATATACTTTCATGAAAAGGATCTTCAAGATTGTGTGGTCATTGCAAAGAGAATATCATGAATTGTGCTTGTAAATGAGCATTTTCTTAAAGGACAATCCAACCCTTGTAATAAGTTCATTGGTATTAAAGCAGAAAAATAAGATAAACATAATGGCGAAAGTTTAAAATAAATTGGACCAATGATAAGAAAGTTATGGATGTTTGAAATATGAGATCCCTAATTATATGCGAATCTCAAATTGGCAGTTTGAGTATGATCTTATCAGGATGGTCCTTGAAGACATGAGATGGTTGGGTGTGGGTCAAAGCTACTGTGTTGCTCTGGACATGATATCCCGACATGTCAGTGTTTCTGGTTCCTTTTTGACAGAGGAACCTGGCCAGAGAACACAAAGGACAAAAAGTTATACATACAGGCTCTACACATGTCAAGCTTTTATTATAAATATGCATACCTAGTGCACATTATACTGATTTATCTGACTAAGTCCTTTTTCAATCTTTTATATATATCTTCAAACTTCTTTTCTCATGATCATCCAACTTAAATCAGAATAAAAACAATATTTAAAGGACTTCCATTTCTTTGCATTAATATGAGCTTTCAACAATACATACAATCAACAGGTTCATAACCTTTGACCCACTTTCATGAATTTAAGCTTTAAAATATCCCAGTTTTAATTAAAACTTGAACTCTCACTATTTATTCTCAGATTCAGACGCCGCCATAATTGCTCATGTAAAAGTTACATCTTTGAACCAATCACTAGCACTGCGCATGCATGCAGTGTACATACGTAAGTACACAGTTAGCTAGCATCACGCGCATGCGTAATACTACTAGTATTTTTGCAGCTCAATCATGAATATTCATGATGCGTATACCTCTGAACCAATCAGGAGGAAGGATTTTACGCTCATAGGTAAACCTGTTTGGGAAGAAAAAAATCGCCGCCCGGCCTGCCCCTGGCATCTTCATACGCTACTATTGGAAAGCCATAAAACCACCAGTATCCTCATCTTGGAGTCAAAGCTGTTGATACGGGCAGACCAGAACGTCATACACTGAGCAGCACAAAGGGTGGCCGTTTGCAAGACTCTCTAAGACTCTCTACAAATACAGTAAACCATTGGTAAGTTACGTTTAGTGGACGCAGTGATGCCAATTCATTTACAACAACTGTTCTAAAGTCGAAGATCATGGTGGTTAGCGCGTAGTAAAAAACGACCCTCTAGTTTTGAGTACTGTTAAGAATATTTTATACTCAATACGTACGTAACCCCTTTTTACTTTAACAAGTACAATATGGGAACTATAAAAACTATAGGTCTAACCCCTTTTTTAAATTTTTTTTTTTAAATCTTATTGAGTACACATTCACAACATAATTATAAACAAAACAAATCAAAAAGGATGTCGATCTGCGAAGTTTGCGAACATCAATACTGAGAATATGACGCTTTTCTTCAAATAAACTTATTTTTTTCACAGAAATACCCGTTTTCAAATTCTTGAACATAGAGCGCATTAAATAATATTTTATTAGAGTTTGTGCTAAGCACTTAATTTTCACTAACCAGGTTGCCGCGAGAGAATTTGAGTAATATCTTTAAAAAAATCATTATTTGGGAATAACGTCCATTTCGTGAAAACCAAATTATTAGAAACCGCTAGAGTATGTAATTTCCGAAATGAGGAAATAGCATTTTAAAGGTGATAGAGTGTCTTTGTTCCTCGTTCGCTTTGCTGCTCACAACTTTTAAAAACGGGATAATTTCTGGGAGCGAAGTGCCTGAATACCTTCATAGTTGAGCAATGAAGTGCCCATTAAATAGACTTCTATTTGATAGCGAGTTGCCTGAATATATATTACACCCTTTATATCAAAATTACATTTTGACCACGCTCGTTTGTTTCACTCGCTCGCAATATTTAGAAAGATGATAATTATTCTGACCGATGAGAAGCCCGAATCTCTTCATGTTCGTGCATCGACTTGACCGCATCATATGATTTTGGCATTCATGTTTTCTGCAGCGAGATGCTCGCACTCTTAATTCTATATTTTATCACGACGTGTGTTAATCATAAGGTACATTTTGTTATCATAACAAAAGTATCATAATTTTTTTGCACGCTTGCTCCGGTCGCTCGCAAAATTTAGAGAGAAAAAAATTGCCAAAGTGTAGATGGCACTTGACGCATGTTAGAGTGATCCTAACTGAATCTTCTGTTAAGTATTTAGGACTGGGGTGATGTGAAACTGTTTTACTTCTTTGAAAGAAGTGCCATGCGGATTATTTAAAAAAAAAAAAAGATTGAAAAACGCTGCTTTAGTCTGTATGTACACGTGGGCTTTTTAGTGTTTGCAAACCGCCCTGAAAATTACCTTTATTATACACGTAACTTATAATAATCATGCGTACGCATATAGTCAGTGTGAAATGTTACCACCGGGAGTGGCAATTTCTTGCATACAAATATTACAAAAAAGCAGGGGCGGATCTAGCTTTTTGCCAAGGGGAGGGGGTGACCAAATTACGATGCAGAGCATCGTCTTCGAGCCGCAAAGCTGCGATCCGATTTTTGTGGCCATTTTGAACACCCGTAAGTGATGTTTTTTGGCATCTACTAACATGCGGAGCATCGTCCACCTTATTTGCTTAAAAAATAAGAATTAGATCAATTTCTACCCTTAGCACGTTTGTTTAGTTATTAAAGTTGCTTTATCTACTTAAATTGTGTTTTTTTTTTCAAAAATCTTTGCCGTCGTGGTTGAGAAGATTTTTCAATATTTGTTTTCTTCACACAGAATCGTTAATCATGTTGGCAGTTTGTCTCCTCACTTTCATCGCGATGTCGATTACCGCAGTCCCGGCCACGACCCCGACCCCGACCACGACCCCACAGCCTCCTAATGGAATTCCCCAATGTGCAAGTGAGTCTTTAAATAGATATATTAATTTATTTGTATATATGTATTTGTGCATTTAGTAGACTATGTATGCAAGTATTTATTTATGTATTCAGTTATTTTTCTAGTTGTGCATTTATTGATTTATTTATCCATGTTTGTTTTGTTGTTGTTTTCATCTATTTACCTTTCTATCAATTTAATTATCTATCTGCAGTCTTAGAGTGCCCAGTCTATACTACATTAGAAGAATTTGGTTCAAATATGTGGAAGAGACGGCTCGAAGCACCAGGAGTTTGGGCGCGTAAGGTCGCTCCAACCTGCAGCCTATCTGCTGTAACAGGTCTAGCCTTCTTGGACCTCCATAACTACTTTGTGGGTAAGCTTTGAGAATCAGGCTTTTGTAATTCTGTTATAATTCCGAAGAAAGCATAGAACACTTATTTTGAGATTGCCAAATTTATAAGAATGTTTATCCAACATTTGATTTTAGATGATAAAATTACTTTAAATAAGGTCAGCTTTTGGTTGGATTTTATGGAAGTGAATGAATTCGATCTAATTTTATTATCTTATACGCCAAATACTACACGCCTCCCATCATACGTAAATCTAGCTTATCGTCGATCAATTATTTCAAAGCCATATTAAGATATTATCGTTCATTACAATATTAAACCTATTTTAAAAACAATTTAAGTTTAAACGGGTATTTGATAATAAATGGAAAACATTGGTTAGCTGCTGTAAAACAAAAACAAACAAAAATTAAGTTTATGTGCACTAGCGTAATGCATTCTACTCCTAAAAAGGACGGTAACCAGGCAATTAATTGATAAAATCAAATTATCTTCTACAACATTTGTTGATGATTATTTCTTGATGAATTTCATTTATTCGAATTATACATGGGAAAAACCTTTCCGGTTATTTTTTTAGTCTCGTTTGATTTCCTACGTCTTGCTTTTCTTTACGTTAGCTTTGAAAGAACATTGCCATAATTTATGTATTCATATATTTTGTGTACAATGTACCTATAATATTATTGAGAATAATAGTAAGCATTATCCAAAATAGAAAATAGCAATCCAGTCGCCTATTTCTATTTGAATATAAAAGCCTTTTTATAGAGAAAGTAAGAGAAAAGAGATGGAAGGGAGGAGGGGGCGGGGAGGGGGGACATGCCGTGGGAAGAAAATGGAATGAGGACTTTACAGATATCTTTCTATGCCTACTAATTTTCATCTTTTTTGAAATAAAACAAACAAGAAAAATTGACTCCCTGTCCTCCTTTAAAATATTAGCATCATTTTAAATCAGTCATTAATTTTTGACATGGGAGAAAAGTGAAGATGGCAGATTAGATTTTAAACTTCCGCTTCCTAAAATGAAACGGCAATTTACATTCCTTTTTGGCAATGTTATATTCCGTTTCTTTTTTTAATCTTGATGAATTGTTTCAAACCGATGTAATAGGGATGTATACTTTGGAACTTGTAAACATAAATATTGTATTATGCCTCACCCTGCTTCGTCTTAATCTATCAACATTTCTTTCATGTCGAATTGTTTTGCCAGACAACGGGATTAATAAAACAACACCAATCACTGTGAGAGTCTCGGAAAACATAGCCGCGCCATCTTCGTGTCCCGATCAATCAGAATCTTTCCCTTGCTGTGACAAAAGCTACGCACTTCTCTTCTACATCCCTGCAGCTTCGCAAGCAACCGCCCCACCCCCACCACAGGTACAAAACTTAAAGCCCAGGTAGTGTAGGCCCCTATCCCCTTTTCAGCCAACATCAAATTATGTAGAACTTTGCAGGAATTATGAATATAATATTCATAATCAGGTGGGCTGTATCTAATACAGACCACCTTATATTTTTGTTAAAATTGCCTTTATTATTATTTTTATTTATTTATTTTTCTTATTTCGACCCACTTTTTTGTTAGCAAGATAAGTTGAAAATGGCTAAATCAAATAACTTGAAATTTCACACACATAATGTATAGGTATGTGGACAAAACACGGTAAGGTTTTCAACCTTGACCTTGACTGATGACGTCATCTAGGTTCCATTTTGTAAAATTTTCTGAAAACGGATAGTCATTTCTCATTCATATTTATCATGATCAAGGTCAATATCAGTCCGGTCAATTTCAGGTCAAAAAACGCGCGCGTGCGCGTACGTCCGCGCGTCAGTGCGCGTGCAAAATTGTATAATGCTCAAAATCGTCTCAAATTGTTTGTGCATAATTACGTTCTAGGCCCTTTAAAGCATTTTATTAAAAATCGCGCATACGCGCGCGTTTTCGCGCGTAACACCATTACAAAACATAGAATCGCCATTTTTTTTTTCATCATGATATTCCCATGTTTTTCCAAACAATTTAATACCATGTTTATCTCTTTATTACTATTAATAACAAGATGAGAATCCATTCAAGATAAATGTCTGTGCGCGCGAGCTCTTAATAATAATACATAGCATATAATTTTATGGGCAAAAACACCCCAATTGTTTTTTCATATTTGGATAGAGTATGATTTGGAGACAATATGATTGTATGTCTTTTTGGGCCATTAAGTGTATCGTGACATCATTATAATGTCCTTGAAACACAAAATACGAATTTGCATACTATGACGTCAGCATATTTATGTAAAATTGATTGTATCTCTGTAAATATTGATCAATTTTCTTCCAAATGTCGATATGTAGTAGCTAAGACAATTCTCTACAAGCTCAATATCCACTTTTCCTTTGGTTTTATAATAGATCGGATACAAACAAAGATGATACTGAAAGCGTGCATTTTCTGTTCATTTCATGACACATAGGAGATACAGGAGAGTTGATTTTCCTTTGTTTAAATTTAAAGTTATAAGAGTGCAGCTATCTTGTTGATTTCCAGATCATTGTGTAGTATTACAAAAACAAAAATTCATAAAATATTAATCTTTTCACCGTTTCGTTGCCATCTTCTGACCGTTCTCACCGGGCGCATACCGGGTGTTGAACGTGCTTCTACCGTCTTCACCGCCCAGATTGACTTTTGTTGAAAATTTTGGCCGTTTCCATACCGGGCCCATATCGGGTCTCGAACGTGTGCACCGGGTTTGTAGCAGCCACCTACCAGTCACTTAGCGTCCCCTCACCGCTGGGAGCGTCCTGTGAGCGAGTCCCCGGACTGCTGACGTCATGACACGACTGCCATAAATACCCCGATTTCGGAACGGCAACGGTCAGTCCGCTCTCCATTTTTCATCACCGTTCTGTAACGGGTTATGAGCGTGTTGTGAACGTGTTCATACAGTGTGACCGTTTTCATAACGTATTCATACCGTCCTCATACCGTTCAACACCGTCCTATCTTGCCGCTTACTTGCGACCGGTGCCAGCCGGCCAAAGTTTTGAACATGCCCAAAACTTTCGCCGGGTGTAAATAAGCGCCAACGCAGCTATTAACGTGTTGCCCGCCTTGATAACGAACCACCGTGTGCCCTCGCCGTTCTCCACCGTCCGCAGACATTTTCGCGCACGGTGGCACACGGTAGGCCTACACGGCAGAGTGTGAGAGTCACTTTAGGACTCGTTATTTCTTTCTTTCTCACTCTATCATCTTGTTGAAAGGCAGTGTTACTTAAATAATCTTGAATAAGGCCGAACCAATTGGGGGTACGTTGGAACCCCCCCCCCCCCCCTCCAAAAAAAAAGCTACAACTTCTGTTTGAAAACATGATAATCAACAGGAAAAAGTACAAAATGACTTGATGTAAAGTCATTTTGTTCAGTAGAATTAATCGATATTGTGGATTTCATATTTTTTTAAGGACTCTGGGATTGAGCTAGATTACTTGGAACATCCTCTGGAGTACTACGGCATCACCTTTGGTGGGCGACCGTTCAATCACAATGCGACTGAGAAATACGAACAGCTTTCTGAATACCTTGACGAGCAGGGCTTTCTATACGATTCAACCACTTACTTTGTTGAAGGTGAGTAATGTAGTACATGTGGCAGTCATCCACTTAGGAAAACTTTCCCGATAACCATCCTCTTAGGACAACATACAACACTGAATACTATTAATATTTTCTTTATTGTTTATTATTGTTGATAGATCATGGTCGTGGTGTTGATGACGACGATGATGAGGATGATTATTATTATTTATTTTATTAAAAGTAGTATTTATTATTATTATTATTATCATTGTTATTGCTATTGTTATAATTATTATTAATATGACTATCATTATTATAATTATTATTATTATTGTTCTCATTATGATTAATAAGAATAATAATATCTAATTTTTATATAGCGCTTAATACAAATGTCTCTAAGCGCTTTACAAATATACTATTACCCCGGTCATTGGATTCAGTGCTTGCCCGCACACAATGTGTGCACAATCTCCACTCCCTGGCCATTCCAGCCAGGCGTTACATGACGCTTAAAAACTGTTTGACCAACAATGACGGTCGCATCCTACCGGGTATACCCATTTAACACCTGGGTGGAGAGTAGCAATTGAAGGTTAATATCTTGCCAAAGGATATTAGTGCCGTGTCGGGATTCGAACCCTCGACCTTCGCATCTCCATATATAGTATCATTATTATTATTATTGTCATCATCATCATCATCACATCATGGAGGTGTCGTGGTATAGTGGTTCATTCACTCAATTTATATCCAAGGGTTGAGGGTTCAAATCTCAGCGTGCCGGCACTAACGTCCTTTGGCCAGACACTGATCCACATGTGCTACTCTCCACCTCGGTGTGAATGGGTACCTGGTAATAACAAGTCCCTCGGAGACGACCTAAATCCTTCGGTCCCCTGCTTGCTTCCTTCAAAAATACACATGACTTTTTAGCAGTCCGGTAAAACAAACAAACAAGCAAACAACAATAACAAATTCCAGGGCCCTCAGGAAGAAAAGCGTGTGAAGCTGATGAGACTACCCTTAGTTAAGAAAAATATAATTTACATGACCATATTTATTTATTCTATTTTTTTACAGCTTATGACAAACCATGGGACCCTCAGCCATATCGAAATGAAATCCGTATTTTTATCTAGAAACCCAGAAGGAATGATAATAATGAAGGCACCGACAGCCCAAGAAAACCAATGAGATCGCAGTGGGCGTGGTGGTCGTCAAAGACGCAACGTCGACGACCTTCCCATCACCGATCTCATTTCGTTTTTAGATGGTCGGCAAACGACTCCAACCAAGATTCTAATGATTTTATGTCATTTCATTTCATTTCTTTCGTCATGCACATAATGATAAGATTAGCTAAAGGATAAAACATAAGAAAAAATGGAAAGCACTTTTTTTTTGGTTACATTTTCAAGGTGTATAATCAAGTAGTTTGCTATCTTAATTTATTATGAGATAAATACAGTGCTTTGCTGTTTAAGTAGTGTCGAAATACATCATATTTTTAACCATTTCCAAGGCGTATAAACATAAAGTAGTTTGCTATCTTAATTTATTATGAGATAAAATACAGTGCTTTGCTGTTTAAGTAGTGTTGAAATACATCATATTATTAACCATTTCCAAGGCGTATAATCACAAAGTAGTTTGCTATCTTAATTTATTATGAGATAAATACAGTGCTTTGCTTTTTAACAATTGGTGATTGGTTACAATAAAAGTACCTAGCAGTCAGTGATCGAGCTACTGTTAATAATATTAGTACTGCATTGTTTGAGGTATAGTGTTTACGTGTAATTTACAAACATGACTTGCTTGACTTGACGTAATCGTAATGTCGTTCTCTTTGATATATTTTTTTCGGATTGGTATTGGAATTTGTTTGGGCCTATTGATTAATAAATACTTATACCCGTAAATTTCTCTGCATTCAATTTATTTACACCTCTCTGGGAAAATCACAGGTTTCTATATTGGAGATAATGATGTAGATTATGTTGATGATGATGATGATGATGATGGTGATGATGTTGATGATGAAAACGATAGGTGGTGATAATGATTATGATATAGTAATGTGACGATGGTGATGATGATGATAATAAGGAGGCGGGGGAAGGGTAGGAGGAGGTAGAGCACACGAGATATGGAGTGGGAGGAGGAGGAGCGGGAGAAGAAGAAGAAGGAGGAAATGGGCAGAAGGAGGTAAAAAGGTGTATCAGTATGGGATCTGGTTGTGATATATTGGAGGCAAGACAAATGATACACGTCCAACACGGATAAGTTCCAGACTAGGAGTTATCTTTATTAGAGGGGTTTCACAGTGGCCCTCGGTAGGCTCATTACATAACTTTGTCTGGCATAAACATATACCAGTAGGTGGCGCCATTACATACATTGATATGGATTTACATTGATCAAGATACATCACACTGGTTGTTGGTAGTAGTGTGACTTGGCTATTTCAAAATTCTGCATGAATGCTTTGGTTCGGCATGAATAAAAGTGATATCGACCGCTTTATAACAATATGCATGATTTGTTTGCTGATATCATCGAGGAGGGAGAAAGAGCACTGACTCCAAGAACAGCGCAGGCGCAGACTCGAAGTATATTGAGCAAACTGCTTTGCATTCCGGAAGTGTGAACTAAAATTCTTGTTTAGTCTGGACTTAGTCCTGGCTTAACTTATGAGAATACCGCCCAGTACATGTACTAACTTAAGCCAGGGGTTTAAACCATGGATCAGTTAGTCCACCTTTCGAGCATTGAAATTGACTTAGTCCATGGACTAAAGTTAAGCCCGGCCTAACTAATCCACGGACTAAGTTAGGCCAGGTTTAACTTAGGCCGCTTTCGAGAATACCATCCACTGTGTATGATAACCATATTTATAGTTCTGAAGTATTTGACCAATTATTATAAAACATTGTTTGTGTTATTGCCATGTTTCATATTATAAAGTTATAACCTTGTTCATCATATTTGTAGAGTATTTAACCAATAGGCCTAATTGTTAGACACTATTTTTTATCGTTTTTTAGGGACCTTACCTTGGCAAGCTTTTTCCAAGGCCTCCTCGTCTTGCTTCTTTCAATGTATACATTTTTGTTTCAATGTATTATTGGTGTATTCTTCTTTTGAGAATGATGAAATAGATATAAACAAAACTTGAACATGAACTTGAAAGAAGAACCAATCGCGATATAAAAAGGGTCAAAATTAAAAAGATAACGCGGATGACGCATGCGCATCGCATAGTATTGATGATGTCATAATGCGATGCGCAGGCCTCAACCCAAGCGGTCACAATCATACACAAACAAAACAATGCGTGTGAAATAAATAGTGAACATATTTGGAATAATGTCTTTATATCATTGGTAATTCACAACATGGCACCGGGAGGTAAGTATGCTTCCTTTAATATTTTATTTCCATCCTCATCTGCCTTGTCAATATCATCATCCTTATAATTTGTATTTTCAAGTACTTATCCATTCTGCTTAATAAATATCCCCCCCCCCCCCACTCCGTGAACGGAGTGATACCATGCGTGTTCCCGATGATGTCCGGTAAAGGGGTACTTTTCACGCACCAAAGTCCGGCTCGTAGTACACAAAAATCCGGCCCGTATTGACCTTACACACCGGACTGTTTTCAAAAGGAGGGAACATACATATGCGTACCCTGAATAACACTGAGTGCGGGGGGGGGGGGGGGGGGGGGGGGGGGAGGGGGCGGCGGGATAAATATGTTAATCTATTTCATGAGTTTTGTCTGGGGCTGTCTTATTTTCAATCAATCTGCTAACAATGACAGCCCTTCTTCCCTAAATAATTTTATGTTGTTCAATGAAATGTAGTATTTATGACAGCTTAATCATTTCGTTGTTGAAAATAACAATTGTTATATAATTTGCTTATTTATGATTCACTTTTAGAAAAACACTTATTGTATTTTATATTACTAATTGTTATCAAAAAAACTATGTACTTATAGTATGAATGCAAAATAAAAATCAAATCAAATCAAATTAAAAGGAGAACAATTAACCGATGCTAAATATGAGCAAAGGAGCTATAGTCTATAGTAAAGGCCCACATCATGACATGTTTCAATAAGCACATAATGTCCTAATAATATTCATAATATTCGCATGCACATCTCAGATTCATTACTTATTATCGTAAGTTCTAAAAATCGTGTGCATGCAGGTTGGGTAGACAAATTATGTTAACAAATTTTACAAAACGTGCATGAAAATGAAGTTACAAGCAGAAAGAAAAGGGGGCACAATGACCTTGAGTTATGCCTACATAATTTTAAAGGAAGAGGACTGTGACATTATCGAGTTAGATTGAACAGATTTGTGTATTATATACATGTACGAACCTTTATTTTGTAATAATAAACTTTCTTGATATTTTGTTACTTCACGAATGTGCTCCGAAGCTCGATCAACCGGGCACCAGGAGATCTCGGGAAATACGTTCTTTCTGGACATAGTACGAGGTCAGACTCGAACCGTTGGGAATGACCTGCAGAGATTGGGTGGGACAGTGGAAAAGTTCCTCAGCAAAGAGATCGACTACATCATCACCAATGGAAATGTATCTACACCACGGTAATTAGACCTTCAATTAAGGATATGAATTAAAGTTGACAGTTTTTTTTAGAATGATTTGATACTGGCGGGATACTGGATGAATTGTTCATGAATATCTTTGAAACTGCTTGAACATGTTTTTGAAAGCTCTATGCAAACTAAAATGTACGGTATGTTGAATTTCCCGCTTTGTTTTCTTGAGAGAAAATGCAGTTACTTACTTTAGGTCGATACCTTTATACTTTCAAGTAAGAAGGGGGGGGGGGGGGACTTACCCGACATTTCAATTGAAGCCATTGCTAGGGAGCATAGAAATAATATTGAATACACCTGTTACGAGGTACATGTATCTTATGCATGAGATTTTAAACAAAGGTTGTTCTTGACAACTTGAAAGCATTCCAGAGGCTTACCCGACATAGCAACACGGTAGTGTAGTCGGACTCTGATTCCAAGTCATTGTATTTCATTCATAAATGTCAGGTTAACGAAATAACTCAGTTTTAGGAACCCAAGAAAGGAACATAAATGTGAATACATATCCCCCCAATCATACCCCCAATCATCATCTTGAATAAAGATTGAGCGAGGCATTGATACTTGTAGGCAGGGAAGACCACCAAGTTATTTCTTTTTCTTCTTCAGTCCGTTCACACATAACTATTTTAAACGAATCTAGGCAAGAATAATGATATGTTGTTGTCCGCGGACAGGTTGTGTATCCGTTGAAACAGCAATTTGAAGAAATTTATAAGCAATAATTCATAAATCTTCTAAGACATTATGTTGGAGAATAATTATGATAAAGGCAGATATCACTGATGGATAATGCTATTTGATGAATATTTACAATTAAATCTGAAGGCGAAAGAGGAGGCTTTATGTTCACACCCCCCCCCCCCCCATCATACTGATTATTTATAACAAGTCAAATTCGTCTCTTCTAAATATGTGATCTGAGACCTCTCTAGACTCGAGACCTTTATAGCCTTTCTAGCTATTAATTATGTACGCAGCATAGCGCTTTATTAGCTGCGTGATTTTAACCGCGAATTAATTGCGAACTGTATTTTTCTAGCCGGTCTTAAATTTTAGCCTAGCGACTGCACAGTATACAGACGACGAAGAACCTGCATCATTTTGAAGTTAAAACAATAGAACTTAGCTGCGTCAAGTCGATATCTAAGTTCTAAGGTATCGTATTCGCTTCGTAACGTTTATATTAATTGGATAGTGATGTGGTTGTTATTAAATTGATTAATGAGCCTCAAAATGAAGCACTTCTAGTTTCACCTTTTCCACCAATTCCAGCAGCAGTGCAGTGGCGCCTCGTTCACCCGACTCGGCCTGCGCGGCGTCACCGTAGACCCATCAGGCATCAAGAACTGGCAGGACCCGAGGCATGACTGTCTGGAAATTATTCTTTTATCCTTGATATTTGAATTGAACAAGAAATATTTTCATACACCTGTAGAATGATTAAAAGGAGTAGGCCTAGAATCTATACTTGTTATTGTCAATTTGATCTATGACTAGGGGTCTAGCCTAGATCTATTGTTGTTTATTATTCAAGATTTTGGATGTCTTTTTTTTTTCATTAGGAAAACACGAGCATCCAGACCGTCCAGTGCACCTGTGGGACAGAGCAAAGGAACTGAGCCTGAGGTAACTAGATTATGGCTGAGTTAAGGTTAAGTTAAAGGAAAATGATTTAGACAATCAAGAAAGGGCCCAGTTTTTCTGAATAAGAATCCTCTCAAAGAATAAAATATCAGATTCAGACTCAGAGTTCAGACTCGTTGGCCCGAATTCACAAAGGAGGTTTGTCGACAAACCTTGATTTTCGTACGTCATATGATGCGTTTTACGCGTTTGTTTACAAACCTGGTTTGTAAAGAACAAAAGGAGGTTTGGCGAAACAAAAGGAGGTTTGAGCTCAAACCTTGGTCTGAGCTCAAACCTTGCTTTGTGAATTCGGGCCTTTGGCTTTGTGCATTTAGACCCTAGCTAGGCTAATCTGTTTTTAAAGGGCCTGAATAGATTTTGCCATACTTGCTACTGTAGTGTTAGGTGTAGATCTAGAGTCTAGAGGTCTAGTTTTGCTAGCTCAGTTATAACTTAGATCCTGGCTAAAGTTGTTCTTGTCTAGTACTTTGTAGTAGCTTAGCCGTTAGCGCATTATTTATTATTGATCTAGGGACAGGGTCTAGTAAGTTTATCTTCATATTTACAATCTTCTAAGTTCTAGAATCTTTGCTGTGATTTTATTTAAAAGAGTAGGCCTAGGGCTATTCGTTTTAAATTGATTCATACATTGTGTAGTCCTTGCAACAACAACAAACTGAATCGAATCATGTTCTTTTGGCCATTTTTAAGGCAGTAGACTAAACCAAGATACAGAATATGACATGCTCTTACATTTATATATATTTATAGTATTCACGGGGAAGGGCTATGGTCACAAGAAGCAACCAGGCAAAACAGGTACAGGAAAATCATAGAGTTGAGTTTGTCTAATTACTAAATAGGTCTAGATCTAGAGTCTAGATTCTAATACCTAAATGAATTATTTGCCATGCAGTTGAAAGACTACACTGTATACATGTATATGACAATCACATGTTTGGATGATTTTTTAATTTTGGGGGGATAGAATATAGAACTCTGCGCTTTAATCTATTCATGTTTGTGTAAGCATATGATGATTTAAAGACCGTTAATACTTCTGTGCCAGAAGGGATTAGACCACCCAGCAAGGTCACTGACAGGTGGCTATCTCATTAACTCAGCTCTCAACTAACATAAGAAAAAGAGGATCATGGGGGACCAACAGGCACCGATTGGGGAAGTTTTCTATATAGAAGGAGCAAGTAGCTACAAGTAGGACAGTGGGGAATCTCATAGCAACAGACAGTTTTTTGTAATGTAATCAAATTTAATGCTCAAATCTTTGTTAAGTGCCGTGATACAAATTATTTCATTTACCTGTTATGAATAATTGTATTTCAATAGTCAGAATGTGAATTGCATACATTAGTTGTTGCTGGTAGGTAGATGTCATTGACAATGTATGCAATATGCATTCCGACTATTGAAATTCAATTATTTGTACTATTTGTATTATATCCTGGCTAAACAAGACTTTTGCACTTCACATATAGCAGTTGGTCCTTCCAGGGTCAAATCTTACAAAAGTATATTATTTGAATTTTGTTTGCTGACCACCCTACTTCAAGTTTAACCTTGATGTATTTTTATGCTATTCACAGCCTGAAGTCCGCTCTTATGCAGTTGGTGTAGCAGCAAAGTGGGGAATTCAAGTACTTAGTTTAGAAGGTAGACTATAAATAAATAAATAATAAATACAATAATATACTAAATCAATGTACATGTAATTAATTTGCTTTCTGTTTTCTTCACAAATTTTTTTCCATGAAAATAAATACTCCTCCTCCAGAAATTAAAAATGTTATTGTAATTGGCACAATTTAACTTATATTCTACTGATTTTTAAAAAGCATGGACTACTTTTGAAATGGTCATGTCTTTTGTCAATTATATAGCTTTCTTACAATTCCCCTGCTGAGAAACATGATTGAATTGAATTGAATTGAACTTATTTATTATCCGTATGATAGAAATTTGTTGTGTAATACAGAAAAATAAAGATATACAGAAGAACAAGATAATCAACATACCTCACATGGCACAAAAAAGCAATTACCTGGTACTTATGTTAAAAACAAGAATAAAGGAAATACGAGACGGGAAGACAAACAAGGCATGAGGTGTGTTGAATATTTAGCAGATTAAATAATAATTAAGTACTTATAGGAAGAATGCCATTTTATTTTTTAATATTAGGCATCCTGTGAGAAGTTTCAATTCTCGCTACCCCAAATAGCGATTCTGCCGAGATCCGGGGAAAATCCTGAAAACGCGCATTGCATTATGGGATAGCTTTTCGACATTACAGCTTCCTGTGCAGGCGTTCGTGATCACAACCCTCTCTTTCACGGTAGAGTTTAACGGCCTTTTGTGCTAAAGTCACTAATTCTGCCCGAAGCTTTCCATTGCATATTATAATCTTTACAAATTACACTGATTGGCATCGATTTTAGCGTGCGTGAAAACTCTGCACAGCGAACACAGGCGCTAGCTCCAGCGGGATGGGACTCTATACCGGAAGTTGTAGTGACGACCCGAGAGAGTGAAAATTACCTCGTCTCGCGAATTTCGAGATTTTCGTACCTATTTAGGGTAGCGAGAATTGAAAATGAAAGAATTTTGTTTGGCCTGCACCCAGTAAGTAAAATTAAAATTCTAGTTTTATAATAATATCAAAATATCTGCTATCAAATACAAAACTAGCAAGCAACAAACTTAATATCGACTATAATGCAATGTATATTATGTATTCTTCACACAGATTTGAAACAGTGGATTGCAAGACAAAAAGCGGCAGCAGCATCATCTTTACTCCGTCCATCCAGCAAGGCAGGTCGAGTTGCTCCGTCTTGTCAGCTCAGAGAAAACTTCATCAAATTGGAAGATAAATCAAAGTAAGAAGCAAATTCTACCTCTTGATAATTACCCAATTTAAATTGGTTTCCAGATTTTTTTGATATTTTTATCCTGATTTTTTTTTCTTTCGGATTTTCCCTGATTTTTCAAGATTTCCCCCAATTTTCTTACTCAAAAGGGGGGAATGTTGTTAGATGCCATTTTTTTCCTTCTCCGAATCCCCCTTTTTTTTTTTACTCAAGGGGGGGGGGGGGGTGGGGGTGGGGGTAGGGGGTTGATTTTTTTTTTTTTTTAGTGCTCATTTGACTATCACCCCTGTTCTGATCAAGTTATAGCATCAATATTTCAGTGAAAAGATAGGTCTCTAGAAAAATAACCAAATGCCCTAAACCAGAGCATTATACTTACTTGTATGTGTTGAAGATTTGCAGCACAGAGAGAGAGAGAGAAAAGTGGGGGTTGCTAGATCTTGGCAAGTCTTTATGATTACCTACATGTATTGGACATGTATATCCAAAGGGGACCAAATAATAGAGGAAAGTTGTCCTACTGTGCCCAGCTTCTAATGTTATATTGATTAATTTACAATTATCTCCATGATGTACAGAGAAGCCATTACTTGCTTCATGGCTTTACATTGTACGATCATAGCCAATATTTTAGATCATGCACTAATAGAGTTCAGTAACGGTCTTGCAATATCAAGGGTTTTCAGGGTATACATGTACTTTTAGGGAGTACAGTTTAAAAATATACAGAATACTTCCTCAGGGTTTAGAGCATTGTTGAACTTCAATCGAAGTTCATTCTGTGAAAATTGAGCTCTTTAATGTAATCTACAGTAGATATGAACCTGGTCAGTGCCCGATGCAGAGAACGTAGTTATCGTCAAATCAGTATTGATACAGTAAAAATATCTGAATTCAAATTGGCTTCACATTATTTTGCTGCCATTGTTAATTTTTTTTAAACAGATTAGTGTGTGTATATGTTAAATTGCCAGTTTTTCAGTAATTTGGTGTAATATCTAAAAAATAACTTGAAAATATATATGCATGAATTGATATGTTTGAGATTGCCTCTCCAAACTAGCAAAAAAAATTGTTTTATCTATCACAATTACTGTAATGAAACATGTATATCTTATAAGTCTAAAGGTTAATAGCTCAACCTTGTGGTGATATGTTAGGCATGCACAACTACACAGGTACATCTCTGTATAGATTCTACAGTGGGAGTCTCATGTACTGATATGTATGTTTCAACTAATACAGTTTCTTTTGAGCTTCTAACTTGATGTCAAGCATTATTATTACAACTTCTTTCTTTAAACATTCCTTAAACGAATTAACATCCTTGACACTGTTTTCATTTCCTATCTAGGAAGTATCAACCGACGGTCAAGCGTCCATCCACGTGGCCAAGGCCAGACTTCACTGCGTCCACTGGATCCCCGTTCACCACGGATGCCTATAGTCCCCCAAAGACCCGGTCAGCGGGTCGCTTGACCAACGCCCGTAAAAAGCCTGCAGCCAGGGGCAGTGTGTCGCCACAAAGAAAGGTATGCAGAATGGTTGTGTCTACTGATATATATAACCCATGTATGTCATTGAAGAAGCTTTGAAATATACCATTTGTAATGAGTTTTCCAAGTTGACATGGTAGCTTAAACACCGTCTTGAATAACTCTCTCAGACAGTGTAACTGATGTCTATATATCTCCCATTGTCTGTTCTATCATATGTACACTGTATATATGAATATGACTGACATATATACATGTATGTAATTCTTTTCTTTCTGTTATCTCTCTCTCTCTCTCTCTCCTGTCTTTCCTTTCTCTTTCTTTTCTTTTTCTTCATCTGACCCTATCCCCCTCCCTCCACTTTCCCCCCTCGCCCTATTTCCCACTCTATTTTCATTTCCTCTCCCTCTATTTACTTCTGGCTCTCTTTCCCTCTTCCTCCCTCTCCCTCTCTCTCTCTCTTTCTCTCTCTTTCCCTTATGTCTCTCTTTACCTCTTCTTCTCTCTCCCCCTCCTTCTTTGCACTCCCCCCTCCCCTCATCCCCATTTCTCTCTGTCTCTTTTCTTTCTCCCTCATTGCCTCCTTCCAATCAACAGACGAGGCAGACGCGCCAGGTAGCCGCCACCAGAAGATCAGCCCCGCCCTCACCAGTTAAACCGTCACCCAGAGGAAGATCCCCTCGTGTAACCAGGGTAACCAGAGGACCAATTGTCACCTTCCAACTGGCCAAGATCCCTCCGGCATCTGAAGTTATCCCAAAGTGAGTCCAAGAAATGATGCATCTCAAACATATTGGTTGTTGCACAAAAACAAAAGTAACGCTTGGAGATTGTGCTTTCAGTTGCAATGCTCCAAAGCTTTGGAATAACCTACCAGTAGACATTTAAAAAAAGCCTTTATCTGTTGCTGTCTTCAAAGTTTTCTGAAGACACACTTGTTTTAAGGAATTTTTTTGAATAGTTTTGATAGTAGCACTGCCCGAAATGTTTGCAGTAGTAATAGCTACACTATTTAAATTGATCAAATTATTATTATTATATATGTGGAGTTGGTGAATTATTCACTATTTCATATCGTTTAGCACTTTGTGGGCAGTAGGAAAGAGTAGTAGATTGATCCCTACATATATTATGAATATTTGGTAGAGATTGGAGTATGATAAAAAAAAATGTTTGTGCTTGTTTGCTTTGAGAATGGAGTTGAAAATATAATTAGTGTAAATTTGAAGGGGCAAATATGATTCATATCAAACTTCTGTAGAGGTTGTTTTATCAATTTTTATACGGGTTACTGATTTGAGTCAAATAACCTAATAATGGATTACAAAGGGCCTCATCCCGGAAAATAACATATACATTCAACAATTTTCAACATTTAATGTTTATATTTTAGAGTCAAGCCATTCAAGAAGGTCAATGTTACGTTGAGGAAAGTGACACGACAGCTAGACTTTGATGATGTCATTATCCCTTCCCCTGTCAGCACTACTAAGACTAAGGTCATGAGGGTATCTAAGAAAGTCGCTATACTCAAGGTTAGTCAAATCTGAAGCCTGAAGGGACCGTTTATGTCGAAGCTTAATGAAAATTCATGGCTGTGTGATAATTAAGACTAGTTTCCAATAACATTAAATCACAATTTAATGACCACTTCACCAAATTGAGATTCATATTGAGTGTTTTTAGTTGTCAAACAACATGAATAACTTTCTTTTCATTTTATCTCTTTCTGCTTTTGGACAATTCAAGGTGGATTCAGTTGGATTTTGTTTCTGTCATGTTTGTTTGGTAATTTGTACCTGCAGGAGCTTCAAGATCGTCTCGATGGCATCACCGATCTATATTTTTTCTCTACCTCTTTCTGCTTTTGCACAATTCAAGTTGAATTCAGTTAGATTTTTTTCTTCCTTCATGTTTGTTTGGTGATTTGTACCTGCAGGAACTTCAAGATCATCTCGATGGCATCACTGATCTATATTTTTTCTTTACCTCTTTCTGCTTTTGCACAATTCAAGTTGGATTCAGTTACATTTTCTTTCATCACGTTTGTTTGGTGATTTGTACTTGCAGGACCTTCAAGATCGTCTTGATGGCATCACCGATGAATCCCCCGTCAAGACGACACCCAGACGCCAGCAGCCAGCCAGAAGGCGTAGGAAGGGCTCCACCTCCCCCAGACCCGTCACAGTCGCACGGCTTGCTCGTCAGCTCAAGAAAGAACTGCACCAGACCTCCCCAGAGATCTCTCCCATGCCCCTCAGAAACGGCAAGATGAAATTTGGGGCCTATTGATGAATGTTTGAAAATGAAGATGAACATTAACAGAGGTGCCAACTAGTACGATTTTATTGTATTTCGTACAATTTTTAGAATTAAATATGACAGTATGATTTTTCCTCAATAAGGACAAAAATTCAATGGCAAAATGCCCATTGTCTCCTGTAAAGTCTCCTACAAGCATCTCACATCAGCAATTTGGGGATGTTCATTGGTTTATCGAAAACACCAGTCATGACCAAATCATGCATATTCAACCAATGGTCCTTAAAAAAATTCTTCCTGTATGTAGGAACTTATGCAAATTGGTTAGAAAGTATTTATTGATCAAAAGTAGGATTTTTTGGGGGAAAAGAATAGGATTTTTGTTTCAGTTGGGGTTGGCAGCTCTGCATTCACAAATCTACCTGATCAATAAAGAAATACCACCTTGAGTATTCATGCATTGCAATTGTATGTTGTAAATAATAACTGGAATATGTATTCAAACAATAGCTTGCAAAGCCATGGAATTAACATTCTCTGTGCAGTCGATATATGATTGAAATCATCAACATAGTGCCATCATGTGCTTTCATGCCATGCAATTATATGAGTAAAACTTTGTTATAATATGATTGCAAATTTAGAGTAACAGCCAATATGAAAGTGTGTTTCCAAGATATATGTTTAGCTATCAATTTTCTCCTTCCAAAGTGTGAACTGAAGTTTGAAAAAATGAATATTCATGAAATGAAATACAATGTAGTTACCTTGAATTTCAGAACAAGAAGAGATTTTATTTTCCATAAGCTGATTCAAGTTTTAATGTTTATTTAGTTATTATTCTTTGCATATCTTGGATAAGTAATGAATGAAAAAGAATGAATCATTTTACAGAATAATAATGTTTGTATATTTGTTGGTAGCAACTTTGATGACTAGAGTACATCTGAATTGATTTTGATATATTTTTTTAATATGATTTCTACAGTATTACCTTTGCCAAATAAAAGAATATGTAAATTTATAAGAAATGTTAAATATTTTACTTTGAATTTGTTATTTACTTTTGTTGCAATAGATATTATATTCCAAATGTGAATGAAATAATGTTTATTTAACTCAATCTTGTACAAATCATAATTTGTTCTGATAGATCAAGAATCAGAAGGGCATTATTATTGACTTAAAGCCCTTCCGGCTCTCAACAGACAGCATCTCACTAATTTGATTGATTGATTGATTGATTGATTGATTGATCGAGTGGTCAATTATATATTTACTTGATTGCTTGATTAATTGGTTGATATGTAACTTGAAGCCACAAAAGCGAGCATATTGAGTCTTACGGTCAACAACTAAATTATTCGTAACCTTACCAAGTTTTAAGTTTTAAGTGTGTGAAAAAAGAATTGTTGTGATTTATGTTTCTTGAGAATGTGCCATATTAAAGGCCCACTGCACTACTTGTAACTACTTGCGCCCTCTATATAACAAACAATGCCTAATCGGTGACCATAATTGGTCCCCCATGATCCTCTTTTCCTTATGTTAACTGAGATCGAGCTGAGTTGATGAGATAAGTGACCTTGCAGGGCGCTCTAATCCCTCCTGTAAACTACGGCAGATAAGCTTTAAAGCTTCCATCTAAAAGTATATATTCAACAAAAGTCCTATAACTCAGCTGGTCCGCCTTTCATTCTGGAGTTAATACAAAAAACTTGACACCAAAATTCAAATTTGTATGGGGTATGAATAATTTAGTTAACTGTATGCACATTCTATAAGATTGCTCTATATACTGTACGTCAAATGAGTACATAATTACAAATGAATACCCTATACCAAGACCGATATGATTTTGAATTTCTGTCCAAGTACCGGTATCCTATTTGGAGACATATAATATATATACAAACCTACAAAACATATGTCCTGTTCCTAGAAAGCTCTATTGCTCAGTTTTTCCAAACTTGAAGCCTGACTGTGAACATACCTTGTGACCTTCTTTTGCTGCAATATTGTGCTTCCATTTGCCAATTGGTAGAAAATATTACTCCCCGTATTTATTTTGACACTCGTACATCATTGAGCACTCATATATCATTAAACAATGCCAGTTGCCATTTTGTTCCTGTTGTGTTGAATTTATATTATGAGTTTGTAGCCAGCCATAGCAAATGTTTTATATATTGGGGCTACAGACGTTTTCATACAGCCCCGTACTTCTTGTGTTGTCTTTTTGGATCTAATTATTTATTTTATTTTACTTTGAAATAAACTTTGGAAGAAATTGTGGTGTCCTTGTTGTGCTTCTTATGTGCCTACCGTATATAGTTTATTTATGATTAAGAAGTAAAAAAAGTTCATTGCAAATTGAAGTTTTTAGTTCAGACAGGGGCTGCCATAGAAAAACCAACAATTTGTTATTGAATTTCAAGCCATATATGTTCTAGAGAGCAGAGAGAAAAAGAGAGGGAGAGAGAAAAAGAGAGGGAGAGGGAAAAAAAACAAATTTCTAAGCAATATGTGTGAATATTTTATGTTGGATGAAGATCCTAAATTCGCACATGTAGCCAAGAATTGAAAAAATGAAATAAAAATCTGAAATTTTCTTGCTTAAGTTAGCCCTAAAATACAAATAGATCCACTTCTTGTAGGTTAGCAAAATATTATACAGTGCAAAATCAACGTAATAGCTGAGCACGAGACTATTAAAATAAAAAAACTAGTTTTTCACTGCTTCTCCGTCTGGAACAAAGGCTAAATCCTGATCTTGATTTTTCCGATTCCCAATAATATTTCGGTACGTAAATCGTGTTTTTTAATGATTTCTACTCGATATTTGTGGATGTTTATTGTCAATTGATTAGCAAATATAGGCAGGTAACATGACAATGAGTTTTCGTGCGCAAATAATGAGTGAAATTATCGGTTTTGTGCACTCTGGTACCTGTGTCTGCTATATGTTGTCCCACATGCTTACTTTTCTGTGTGTTAATATAAAGTTAATAATGATGTCTCGATGTTTGTTCATCAGTTGTCGCTCAATCGTAGATAGATTTTGTTTGAAAATATTTTGTCATTCATGTGAATTCATTTGTAGATGTACTATTTTACTACAGCTTGCAGTGATTTCTATGTATTTTATTACTTGTTTTAAACTTTTCACTGCCGTTGATTGTTTTCTCTCATTTTCTTTTCTCCCTCTCTCCCTCTCTCCCTCTCTCTATCCCCTCTCTCTCCCTCTCTCTCTCTCTCTCTCTCTCTCTCTCTCTCTCTCTCTATCCCCCTCTCTCTCTCTCTCTCTCTCTCTATCCCCCCCTCTCTCTCTCTCTCTCTCTATCCCCCTCTCTCTCTCTCTATCCCCCCTCTCTCTCTCTATCTATCTCTCTCTCTCTCTATCTATCTCTCTCTCTCTCTTTCTCTCTCTCATTCCTTTCTCTCTCTCATTCCTTTCTCTCTCTTTCCTTTCATTCTTCTTGTTCTTGTCCTTGATCTTGATCTTCTTCTACTTCTTACAGAGATGGCAATTTTTCATGAAGAAAAGTAGAATTCTAGATCTATTTGTTACATTGTATTATCTTTGAATAGACCCTAGTTTCTTTCTTCCTAGGCTTTGCGCAAATAAGGACTTTCTCAAAGATTCCATTATTTACATGAAGGCTTCAAATAGAATACTGCTCAGTCTGGTATATTAAGCATTTTGATGACTTCTTACTCTTAGAGCAGGCATGCTCAGTTGAATATCATAAAACCTGAATAGGTACGAACATAGGAAAAAGTGTTGTTCAGAAAAACAATTTCCATGACATTCAAAGCTTTATCATATTTGATTTATCACCCCAGTGACTGACTGCATACTTATTCTCCTATTCACAGGTCAGTCAAGCATATTCAAGCGATGTGATAAGTGAACCAAAGACCGATTAAACAGTGCTGATATCACAATAATCGGGACTATGGAAGATCCATCTTCAGCGGACTCCCTGGAAGCAACCAACCCTCAAGCCTCAGACCACCTTAGCAAACACGAGTCTACTTCAGGAGGAGATCAAGAGATTGAACCAAATGATGTAGAAATGAAAGATGAGACTGACTCGTGGACTGCCCCAGATGGCTCATTTTCCAAGCGCATCATTAAAAAGGGTTCTGGGTTTACGACCCCAAATGATGGTGCTTCTTGTCAGGTCACCATCTCAATAGTGGATCCGTTGGAGGACAATGACGTAGGTTATCCGACAGGTGAGCAGGTTGATATCGTGCTTGGTGATGGCTGTGGGAGGTTCTCTGAAGCGATAGACGCATGCCTGGAGACTATGCATCAAGGAGAAGAGAGTGAGCTCCGAGTCTTTGACGAACACCATGTCGAATCAGTTGATCAGACCCATGGTTCAGCAGCTGCAGAATTCAGAAGTGAGGCGGGGGATGGTCAAATATCAAACGGGGTGGCTACCTTTCGCGTTACATTGCATAGCTTCACAAGGAACAAAGACATCCACAAGATGAGCGTTGGGGATATCTTAACCAGAGTGTCTCAGCTGAAAGACTACGGGACAACGTGCTTCAAGGAGCGTAAACTTCAGCTCGCGGAGCGCTTCTACATCCGTGCCGGTCGCTACTTGATCATGGTGTGCCATCCGCAAGACGTCAAAGACCTAGACGACGAAGAACGACAGCAGTATCTGTTACTGAAGAAAGGTTGTTCACTCAATCTTGCTGCGTGCCACCTGAAACAAAAGCGATATGACGATGTAATCACCCATTGCACAATTGCCCTGGAGATTGAGCCGCTAAACGCAAAGGCACTCTTCCGCCGCTGTCAAGCTTACCTCGCATTGGACGAGTTTGAGAAGACCAGGACGGATATACAGACTGCTTTGGGGGAAGATCCTGAGAGTCGGCTCTTTCTAGAACAGAAAAGACTTCTGGGGAAGAGAGAGAGAAAAGTGTTTAATAATCTCTCTAGAGGGATGAATAAGATGTTTGGAGGACCATCATGATTGATGCTAACCAATTGCTTACTGGAACCGGATGGTCCCGGTGTTAAGCATTTAGGAATTAGAAAATTCAGTAGTCAGCGGGTTAACGGTCATGGGCCAGTTTTCAGTAGAGAGAGAGGCAAAGATTGCTTGGAGTCGAAGCCTGGAAATCGGTTACTTAAGCCTCGTTCAGAAATGATGGGGCAGAACCGTAGCTTTTTTAAAATGATGACGTGAATTGAAATACACTTCGCATTTCTGTGTCTTATAGTTATAAAAAAGAGCACAGAATTCATACAGCAATACCCTTGTGCACAGTTGTCATTTATTGTATACTAAATTGATAATTTTTGTTGTTGCTTGCAGCCTTTTAATGCACCATATATCTGAACCAACCTCTTTGGTTATATATATATTCAACATGCATACAGTGTTTTTCATTATTCATTCTCAAATCAAATAACTGCCTGACAAATTATCTAATGTAAAATGTTAAAGATAATACGAAGTTTTGGTATGGGGGTCATGATTTTGGTTCAAATGAACATTTTGGGAGCATATGCGATCCTACAATATTCAGTGATCGTTGTCGCGGTTGAAATCGAGTCTACAGTTATGAATTGTAAATAATACACTCTTTATGTTGTAGAGCTCCGTCTTAAGGTCCACATATTAATTAAGCTATACAACAATGTTTCTTGACTAAAATTGACCGAATAGCTATTTCCGTTTGGAAATTATATATCACAACTACATATTCTGAGATTTTCATGGTCGCAGCTATCATTGTACAGACGTAGGCGCTATTTGAAATTTATCAAAATTTACTGGGAGCACCAGTAATTTTTATATTTAATTTTTCTCGAAAGCAGAAGTATTTTAGGGGCTAAATTTTCTAGTGCTTATGATACATTCACAGGGGCATCCAAACATACCAAAATTGTAAAGAATCACAATCCACCCAATTTTCAAAATTGTCCAAAACTTTGTATTACCTTTAAGTCTGGCAATATGATGAACATTCCACTTCATATTTTTGAGCATATAATTATTTTTTCTACAAAGAATATGACAAACTTTAATCAGAAGATGTTATGTTGACTCATTCCATGTCAGAAATGTTGCCCAATTCTATTGAAATTGGTAAAGTTGGTTTGATTTATTGTGAAAATGGGGATCAATCAGTGGCTCTTTGAAAATGATCTTCAAGACAATTTACAATTTTGTTGGGATTATCAGGAATAATCCTGGGTTCAATAGGTGAGCATAGGTTATACGTATACTTAAAGGCATCGTTAAACCATGTTAAATCTGAGATGCATGGCCCTACGTGTTATCAGTGTCTGGTGTAATATGTAATATTGAAGCCTTAAAAAATTGCGCTTCAAAATGATCATGAAGTGCCTCAAAAAAGTAAAAATCTTTGGTGACCGGTTTTACCATACCAGTACTCATTTCCCCCAATAGACTGCAGTGTTATAAAACCTGTTAAAACAAAAAATAAAATTTTGATATCCCATCATAAATATCTTGATAGTCAGAGAGGCTTGTAAAAGTCGAGGGGTTCCTGACTGACCTAAAGGTTTTATAATTATCATCGCAGCATGAGCTTAATCTAGGATTTTGTTTCAGAATCTGAGACAAAAATACCCAATCACTTTAAAAGTTAGTTTGTAGAGAAATGAGGACTTTTTGAATGCTTGATAAATTTAACCTTACATAATAATTTCTTGTCATTATGTTTCATTTGCATGTTGATCACAACTCAAGGACATTATATTGATTCCCTAGATGCTGACTGTTGAATATGATACAATGATCTTTTGCAACAATGTAATCAGTTTCATGAATAGAATCAGATGTTACTTTTTGCTTTTAAAAAAATGCTATAAATTTATATTGGAAAAGATATTGATGTTACATGTATTTATTTGAATAGAAAGGTACCCAGGCTGCATCCCATGATTGAAACTAATGTTTGTTGCTGGTTACATTGGTATGTGATGTCATTAGTTGACTTTAATAGATGAACAAAAATGTATTGATTGATAAATGGGTAAATTTATAAACAGATGGACAAACATGGATTGAGATGTAGATAGAGTGATAGGTGGAGAGACTGATAAAACAATTGATAATGAATTGATGGATGAGATGATGAGTAGTATAGTAGGGATGATTGATATGATTGTGGGATGGATGGATAGAAAGATTGTGCATTTTAATTGTGAGGTATTATTATTATTATTATTATTGATGAGTGGATGAACTGACATGTAGACTGAAGGGTAAATTGAAGAGTAGATCAGTAGATGAATTGACTAATAAATGGATTGAGCAGTGGATTAGTGGATGGATAGACTGTAAATGGATGGATGAATGAATCGAGTGATGATTAGAAGAGTTGATTAATATGACTGGTGGATTGATTGATGGGCTGATAGGTTGACGAGTGAATGAACTGACATGTATATTGAAGAATAGATTGATTGATGAATAGACTAAATAATGGATTGAGCGATGAAGGGTTTGAATGACAGTAGCTTGGTGGGATGGATAAACTGATGTATAAATATAAATGGATTGACTGATTAAATAGATAGATTAATGGATGGAATTATGAGAAGCAGAGATGATTGATATGACTGTTGGATGGATTGATATATGGACTAGTAGATTGGTGAACTTGTATGTAGATTGAAGAATAGACTAAGGCATGGATTGAATGATAGTAAATTGGTGGATGGTGAAAATGATAAGAGCAATAAAAAGATAGATCTGTTGATGTGGAAGGATGGACTGGCGGAGGGTCTAATAGATATTGAAGATTCACATATACATCTAGATGGAAGAATAAACTGATGGAAAGATTGATGGAATAATTGTTGAATAAATACAGAGCCCATTTTTTTTTTTTTTTTGCTCCCGAAAATTTGAAAAACGCGCCGGCCAAAAATTCGCTCAGTGGGGGGGGGGGGGGGGTAGTGAGCACATTTTTTTTTTTTGATCCTCAAAAAAATTTCAATTTGCACCCCCCCCCCCCTTGAGCGCCAGGGGGGGGGGCCCAACCCCCAAAAAAGGTAAAAATCACGTGATTTTACATGATTTTTTTCTCAAGGGGGGGGGGGCCCGGGCCCCCCGGGCCCCCCCCCCTGGATCCGCCACTGCCTCCCTCCCTCCCTCTTTCTCTCTCTCTCTTGAAGTTTTTTCTTTTCTTTCTTTTCTCTTTCATTATTGCTTAGTTCTGTTTAGAGTAAAGGTATTCCCCCTTCACAAAACTATCTCTAGTAATAAGCATTTTCAATCCATCATGTATCAATGTACCTAGTGGGGAGACAACCTTCTCTCCTCCCTCTTTCTCTCTCTGTCACTCCATGTAAATATCTCTATTTTTTATCTCCCACTTTGTGTAAAACTCTATTTCTATTTCTTTCTCTCTCTCACTTTATATAAATCTCTCTTTCTCTCTCTCTCTCTCTCTTACTCCATGTAAATCTTTCTCTTCCTCTCTCACTCTATGTAAATCTCTCTATTTTTCTCTCTCTCACTCCATGTAAATCTCTCCATTTCTCTCTCACTTTACGTAAATCTCTCTCTCTCTCTCTCTCTCACTCTCTCTCTCTCACTCCATGTAAATCTCTCTATTTCTCTCCCTCTCTCTCTCACTCCATGTAAATCTCTCTATTTCTCTCCCTCTCTCTCTCACTCCATGTAAATCTCTCTCTCTCTCTCTCTCACTCCATGTAAATCTCTATATTTCTGTCTCTCACTCCATGTACATCTCCTCCTCACTCTCTGTTGAAGCTTTTTTTTCTTCCTTTCTTTTATCTCTCATTATTGCTCAGATCCAGCAGTTAGAATTAGGCATTCCCCTTCACACCAAAAAATACTTTCACACATCAATATATCTAATGGAGAGACAACGGTTTCAATAAAGCAGTCGACACCGAGGTTATTTTTTGTTCACAGCATTTTACTGCAGTTTTGCGATCATCTCCGACTTGCCTATGCACAACAACATCTCTCTCTCTCTCCCTCTCACTCTATGTAAATCTCTCTATTTCTCTCTCACTTTACGTAAATCTCTCTTTCTCTCTCACTCCATGTAAATCTCTCTATTTCTCTCTCTCACTTTACGTAAATCTCTCTCTCTCTTTCTGTCTCTCACTTTACGTAAATCTCTCTCTCTCTTTCTCACTCCATGTAAATCTATCTATTTCTGTCTCTCACTTTACGTAAATCTCTCTCTCTCTCACTCCATGTAAATCTCTCTCTCTCTCTCTCTCACTCCCCGTAAATCTCTCTATTTCTGTCTCTCACTTTACGTAAATCTCTCTCTCTCTTTCACACTCCATGTAAATCTCTCTATTTCTGTCTCTCACTTTACGTAAAGCTCTCTCTCTCTCTCTCACTCCATGTAAATCTCTCTCTCTCTCTCTCTCTCTCACTCCATGTAAATCTCTCTATTTCTCTCTCTCTCTCTCACTCCATGTAAATCTCTCTCTTTCTGTCTCTCTCTCTCACTCCATGTAAATCTCTCTATTTCTCTCTCTCACTCCATGTAAATCTCTCTATTTCTCTCTCTCTCTCTCTCACTCCATGTAAATCTCTCTCTTTCTGTCTCTCTCTCTCACTCCATGTAAATCTCTCTATTTCTCTCCCTCTCTCTCTCACTCCATGTAAATCTCTCTCTTTCTGTCTCTCTCTCTCACTCCATGTAAATCTCTCTATTTCTCTCTCTCTCTCTCTCACTCCATGTAAATCTCTCTCTCTCTCTCTCTCACTCCATGTAAATCTCTCTATTTCTCTCCCTCTCTCTCTCACTCCATGTAAATCTCTCTCTCTCTCTCTCTCTCACTCCATGTAAATCTCTATATTTCTGTCTCTCACTTCATGTACATCTCCTCTTCACTCTCTGTTGAAGCTTTTTTTTTCTTCCTTTCTTTTATCTCTCATTATTGCTCAGATCCAGCAGTTAGAATTAGGCATTCCCCTTCACACCAAAAAATACTTTCACACATCAATATATCTAATGGAGAGACAACGGTTTCAATAAAGCAGTCGACACCGAGGTTATTTTTTGTTCACAGCATTTTACTGCAGTTTTGCGATCATCTCCGACTTGCCTATGCACAACAACATCTCTCTCTCTCTCCCTCTCACTCTATGTAAATCTCTCTATTTCTCTCTCACTTTACATAAATCTCTCTTTCTCTCTCACTCCATGTAAATCTCTCTATTTCTCTCTCTCACTTTACGTAAATCTCTCTCTCTCTTTCTGTCTCTCACTTTACGTAAATCTCTCTCTCTCTTTCTCACTCCATGTAAATCTCTCTATTTCTGTCTCTCACTTTACGTAAATCTCTCTCTCTCTCACTCCATGTAAATCTCTCTCTCTCTCTCTCTCTCACTCCATGTAAACCTCTCTATTTCTGTCTCTCACTTTACGTAAATCTCTCTCTCTCTTTCACACTCCATGTAAATCTCTCTATTTCTGTCTCTCACTTTACGTAAAGCTCTCTCTCTCTCTCTCACTCCATGTAAATCTCTCTCTCTCTCTCTCTCTCTCACTCCATGTAAATCTCTCTATTTCTCTCTCTCTCTCTCACTCCATGTAAATCTCTCTCTTTCTGTCTCTCTCTCTCACTCCATGTAAATCTCTCTATTTCTCTCTCTCACTCCATGTAAATCTCTCTATTTCTCTCTCTCTCTCTCTCACTCCATGTAAATCTCTCTCTTTCTGTCTCTCTCTCTCACTCCATGTAAATCTCTCTATTTCTCTCCCTCTCTCTCTCACTCCATGTAAATCTCTCTCTTTCTGTCTCTCTCTCTCACTCCATGTAAATCTCTCTATTTCTCTCTCTCTCTCTCTCACTCCATGTAAATCTCTCTCTCTCTCTCTCTCACTCCATGTAAATCTCTCTCTCTCTCTCTCTCACTCCATGTAAATCTCTCTATTTCTCTCTCTCACTCCATGTAAATCTCTCTATTTCTCTCTCTCACTCCATGTAAATCTCTCTCTCTCTCTCTCTCACTCCATGTAAATCTCTCTCTCTCTCTCTCTCTCACTCCATGTAAATCTCTCTATTTCTCTCTCTCACTCCATGTAAATCTCTCTATTTCTCTCTCTCACTCCATGTAAATCTCTCTCTCTCTCTCTCACTCCATGTAAATCTCTCTCTTTCTGTCTCTCTCTCTCACTCCATGTAAATCTCTCTCTCTCTCTCACTCCATGTAAATCTCTCTCTCTCTCTCTCTCACTCCATGTAAATCTCTCTCTCTCTCTCTCTCACTCCATGTAAATCTCTCTATTTCTCTCCCTCTCTCTCTCACTCCATGTAAATCTCTCTCTCTCTCTCTCTCACTCCATGTAAATCTCTCTATTTCTCTCCCTCTCTCTCTCACTCCATGTAAATCTCTCTCTCTCTCTCTCTCACTCCATGTAAATCTCTCTATTTCTCTCCCTCTCTCTCTCACTCCATGTAAATCTCTCTCTCTCTCTCTCTCACTCCATGTAAATCTCTATATTTCTGTCTCTCACTCCATGTACATCTCCTCCTCACTCTCTGTTGAAGCTTTTTTTTTCTTCCTTTCTTTTATCTCTCATTATTGCTCAGATCCAGCAGTTAGAATTAGGCATTCCCCTTCACACCAAAAAATACTTTCACACATCAATATATCTAATGGAGAGACAACAGTTTCAATAAAGCAGTCGACACCGAGGTTATTTTTTGTTCACAGCATTTTACTGCAGTTTTGCGATCATCTCCGACTTGCCTATGCACAACAACATCTCTCTCTCTCTCCCTCTCACTCTATGTAAATCTCTCTATTTCTCTCTCTCTCTCTCTCACTTTACGTAAATCTCTCTCTCTCTCTCTCTCACTCCATGTAAATCTCTCTCTCTCTCACTCCATGTACATCTCCTCCTCACTCTCTGTTGAAGCTTTTTTTTTCTTCCTTTCTTTTATCTCTCATTATTGCTCAGATCCAGCAGTTAGAATTAGGCATTCCCCTTCACACCAAAAAATACTTTCACACATCAATATATCTAATGGAGAGACAACAGTTTCAATAAAGCAGTCGACACCGAGGTTATTTTTTGTTCACAGCATTTTACTGCAGTTTTGCGATCATCTCCGACTTGCCTATGCACAACAACATCTCTCTCTCTCTCCCTCTCACTCTATGTAAATCTCTCTATTTCTCTCTCTCTCTCTCTCACTTTACGTAAATCTCTCTCTCTCTCTCTCTCACTCCATGTAAATCTCTCTCTCTCTCACTCCATGTACATCTCCTCCTCACTCTCTGTTGAAGCTTTTTTTTTCTTCCTTTCTTTTATCTCTCATTATTGCTCAGATCCAGCAGTTAGAATTAGGCATTCCCCTTCACACCAAAAAATACTTTCACACATCAATATATCTAATGGAGAGACAACAGTTTCAATAAAGCAGTCGACATTGAGGTTATTTTTTGTTCACAGCATTTTACTGCGGTTTTGCGACCATCTCCGACTTGCCTATGCACAATAACATCTCACTATACATAGATTCAAATATACAAGTATTACACATCCACTAAAACGCAATAATGTAATCTGCAAATAAAACAAATGTACAAGATCATCTTTAAAACGGTCTAAAAACCTATTTCAATCGATTCATTTGGCACTACTTTAGAATTATATCATCATCTACATTACACTCTAGCACACAAAATACACAAGTTTAACTTTCTACAGTTTCGATTCTAGCAAGTCCTAAGAAAAACATAAAATCTCTAAAATTGATTGTGACGATAACATACTTAAAAAGTTAATATCCTGGAATGGAATATGAAGAAAGATTAATAAAAACAGTTTTAAAAAATTGTCCTCTAGCGCAAGAAATTTAGGCACCCAAATGTTTGTTCATGTGCAGTCAAACTATCGTTTTGTTCAATATAATCACTGCATACTGGTGAAGCTTGAAAAAGTCATAAAAATGCACCAATTTATTTAGGAAAGTAAAGGCATTATCATGGCATGTTTCCACCACCTCCTATTAGTGTGAACTGTGAAGAATTCCTTTATGATACAAAAGACAGACATTTATTAAGATCCTGAATTCTTATTTACATTGAAAAATTGACACTGTACATGAAATATTGCAACGATTTCCCTTTTACATTTAAAAGAATCAATACGGGCACTACGTTTCATGTCTAATACATTAATACTGTGTTTTGTACATACATGTATCATCACGTTCTATACAAAATTAGTTTTTATGAACTGAATGCAATATTTACATGTCCATTTCTTTGTCATTTTAAACACAGATTGGTCTCTATATAATTTCTCTGCCAAAGGTGTGGGCTCTTTTTGCTAGCTAAAGATTTGCTTGCACGAAAAACACATATTGCCATACACCCAAGAGGAAACAGAAGTTTCTTTTAAATCTATAATACATACTTATCTTATACACGAGCCACACTGCCAAACCGACCCCACACCAACCTATTCTTGTACATAGTGAGAAATGTTTTTAAAATTCAGTCTGGTATTGGTTATGATTTTGTGTGACTCGGGTCTTAACCGGCTTCACAACTGACGGATGTAAAATTATCAATCAATTCCGACGAGATGTTTCTTGGTTTCAAACTTCCAGCCCTAAATGCATATAAAGACACTTCTAGCGATACGGTTGTTGCACTGATGCATGTACAAATGTTGAAGTCAGCGTTAGATAAAAACATATATTACATTTGTCAGGAAAGTAATAATTCTGCTTATTATTTTATAAAAGTAAGCAAAATATAACGTTTTCATTAATATTTCCATTCCTTGAATACTTGGCCTTCAGAAATAATATCTTGTATCTTTTATTGAAACTCAACTCCATCTATATAGCCTAACCCTAAATACACCAAGTCCTTAAAAAATACTAATGAAGAATTTAAATGTCAAAGGAAATCATCTTTTAGAAAAATAAAAACATTAATAAGAGAAGGTCATCAAAATACCAAAATAATGTTAAAACTTCTCAGGTTCCTAGCTACAAAATCTTATCTAGCTCTTGCTATGTGGATTGACATTTCAATCCTGTACACTGTCCGTTTCCTGTTAACTGCTTTACTGATCAGTGCACAAATCATTTCTGCTCAAGCATTATATATATTATTAACGGTTTAGTTTGCTTTAAATATTTCTTTAAATTGGAGGCAAAAATAACCCAAACATGTATTCCCTGGCAGAAAAGGAGTTCACTCACTATCTCGCAAAAAGAGACTTGACCACATTTAAAAACAGTTTACAGTTTACATCAACTGGAATGCTTTATGATTTTATAAATTTCATCTGATATAGGTTATTTCATTTCCTGTCTGAGAGTGCAAGTGTATACAAAATAGAAAGAAAATCGTAGAATATATATAATTTGTGAAACTGGGTGTAAAAAAGAGAAAGACAGCTCATCAAAAATGTGTTGTATACATTTCTATCTCCTTCGTTCTACTTAGGTCCTTATGCCCCTGATCGTGTTTATGTGCTTGCTACGCCCTTATTCCTTTACAGCTTTTCCAGGTGACTGCTTCGACCTTATGCTTCTAATGTTGGGGTCAGGTGGATGTTACGTCATCATGCTGCTGAGCATGTTTATGTGCTTGCTACGCCCTTATTTCTCTACATTTTTTTCAGGTGGTTGCTATGACCTTAGGCCTCTAAATGTTGGTTTAGGTGGTCGTTACGTCCTTATGCTTCTGATGCCTGAAGGTTGCCTTTTGCTTTTTTGATGACATTGTGAGTTTTGCACACTAAAGTGGATAAGAAAAAAGGTAAAAAGAAGTGAATGTAAAAATAACAGCTGGATGTTCTGTAACATACGAACATCATAGTTGACATATATTGCCATGAGCTGATTAAAGAGATATTGAGTGGACAAATTTTCCTTTCATTCAGTGCTTGGTTTAAAGGGTGACTAAATTAAAAATTCATGTTGACTTTTGTTAATAAATCACATATCTTTTGACTTTTTCATGTACATTTATGTTATATATTTTATATTATTTTTTCTATTACTTTCTAATACTGGGACAACATATACATGAAATGTTCCAGACAATTTTGATAACAACATATGCAAGAATTTAATACTAAGTAAAACAGATAAGAGAATGAAGTTTGTTTAAATTTTGCTGGTACATACGAACCCGTATCTGCTTCATAAACAAATCACAATTACTTTAATCCATTTCTATTTTTAAAGTTTAATATCAGTCCTTTACTTATTACTGAAGTATTAGTTGTAGTTCGTTTATATTTTGGTGTTACACACAAACCATAGCCTGCTTCATAAACAAATCAAGATTACCTTAATCTATTTTTTGTTGTTGAAACATTTTAATGTCAGTCCTATACTCACACTGCCTGATGATAGCATCTTCCATGGTCTCCTTCTCTCTATTTGTGGCTGCTAGTCGATCCCGGGCTTCCTTCATCAATCTATCTTGGGCTCCAAGCCGTTTTCTCAGCTCCTGAAAAGAAAGAAACCAGAAAAATGTGTCACAAGCTTCCAAAAACAAGAAGAGCAAATGATAGGAAAGTGAAGAGAGAGAGAGAGAGAGAGAGGGGGGGGGGGGATGGGATAAAAAGAATATCTTTAGTTGAGAAAAGAGGCATCACAAAAGAAAATGAAATGTCAAAAAGGAGAACTGGAAATGAAAAGGTACAGGTAAATGCAGTTCGAGAATGCAAAGTTGCAAACACTATGATGAAACATGAATAAGAGCACAACTTTCTATCAACTATATCAATCAAACAATATCAAAATCAATCAAATTCCATGAATCTCCTTTGATCCCTACCTTGACCTCATCACTCTGTGAGTGTTGCTGCACCAGACGATCAGTCATCCAAAAGTTCACCAGGTGACGCCTGCTGGTGTCCAAGAGCTTCACCAGGCGCTTCACGTCGCGGGAGAGGGTCGTGAGAAGGGTGTGGTCTCCACTCTCTACCTCTGCAAGGTCCCCTCGGGAATGTGGGCTACTCTCCTCTACCGCCTAAGGAGGAATAAAAGAGATGGAAGTTAAGATGGTGACAGCTAATGTTTCAAAGATTAGTTTCATGAGTCGCTTAACATCATGAGAGAGCGTAATGCACAGGTTCCACTGTCTGCCTCTGCCATATCCCCTTGGAACGGGAGCTCCTAACCTCTACCAACTAGAGAGAAAAAAAATCACTGATGATAATAAAAGTGTTAAAGTATCTAAAACGATATGAGTTATCACCCTTATACTAGCAGACGATACAACTTGGATCATCAAAAGTCTGGAGCTGTAATATCTTTTAGAGAGTTTTCATTCGTGCTTGCGAAGAAGTTCACACTGTCCCAACTTCATATTGATAGTGTTGTTATTGCAGCTGGTACGAAAATATGGATATAAATTAATGCAAACAGGATTAAAAGTTTCATAAAGCTGTTTCCCTAACAAAGTCATAATTGATAAAAAAGTGCATCATGTCTGATTGGCTACAATCACTTTGTTATCAAATTGTGGCAGTTGTTTGTAACAGGTTTCATGATTACAAGTTCACAGAAATACTTGTCTGTCCTACCTGTGCAAGCCTGGACAGCTTCTCCCTGAGCAGCTTCTCGATGGTTCCCCCGACGACAGCTGCCTCCTTGACCCCTGACCTGACAGCTTCATAGGTCGTTGCCATGGAGACGGCATAACTCTCCTTCTTGGATCCGCCCTCGGATAGATCTGAATGCACTGAAGAGGATTTCTTCACCCTGCTGTCCCTGTTGCTGAAGAGATGTTCAATACCTGAAAGTAACAAAATAAACATGATTATAATACAGTTAAACCTGCTGTAGTGACCACTTGTCTACAAAGGCATTTGATGTTTCCCTTGAAAATGGTTTCTCATTGAATCATGTACTAAAGGAACCTGTCTACAAAGGCCACTTTTTGTGTTTCCCTTGGGCGGTCGCTATAGACATGTTTGACTGTACATGGAGTTCTATCACAAAAAATATTTTCAGAAATGGTTGGGATGAAATCACTTTCCTATTCAAATTGGCAATATTCTACAGCAGGGTCCCATCTTATAAACAGCTGCGATTAACCGCAACTTATTTGCGATTTATATCTATCGCATCTATATAACATAAGGGATACGCGACTGCAAACTTGGGATATGATTAGATGACTTGCAATTGACTTGGATCAATCACAACTCTCTATAAGACTGGCCTAAAACATCATAAACATATATCTGAAATGAAACTCTTGGAAAAAATATTGCTTGATGAGAAGAGAAAAAAAAAAGGGTCGTTTGATTAACTTTAATGCAATAATTGCATTTTGTTAATTACATTTAAATACGTACCACCTTCTATATTGTACAGAATAGAATTGAAGAGTATAATAATATTTCTGCCATGTAATATAAAGCATTCTAGACCAGAAGGCTCAAATACAAAAGGTACTCTCTGTCCTGGATTGTGTTAAAGCAATCTGTAGAGGAGAATGGAACATAAAATCTGTATTCCATTCACTGATCCTATGCAGTGTGATAAAAATACAATTTCTTGAGCATGTATTTAAAGGAATATCTACTTTTATCATTGAATTTAATGTAATCTCCATGACAGCCATCCTGTCAGTTATTCTTGAATGTAAATGAATAATGTGAATGTTTGTTAATTGTTGTGAAGTTATCACTTACCATCCACTGAGAAGTCTTCATCTAAATGTCCATTTCCTTCAGGATGCTTCTGATTCTTTCCATCTAAAATTGCACAACCACAAAGAAAGAAAATTGTCAATGAACTTCAAAAGTAATAGTTTGTCACAGTAATATCATTTGAAATGCATTTTTTGTGAAGTACAGTCAAACTTCTCTATAAAGGCCATGTGTCTATAGTGTTCACCTAAATTGTCTCCCTCTAGGATAAAATGTGTGTTGTAGAACCTGTCTGGAAAGGTCACCTGTCTAAAGTGGTCAGTTTTCCTGCTTCCCTTGGGTGACCTTTATAAACAGGTCTAACTGTATATGTACAGTTACCCTATAACCCCCAATAGTCTCTTGAATGTTATACTGAACACCATGCACAAACAAAATTTCAAGATGAGAGAGTAACAATGAAGAAACTGTATAAAATCCTTTAAATCTCACACACAATACACAATCATAAACAACAGAAATACTAAACATTACTCAAGAGAAACAAGTATTTACCTGTGAAGAGTTTCCTTGCGCTGCCGCTCTTTGTCCTATCGTCGCTTGATCTTCTCCTTGTACTACTGCTGCTGCTGTTCCAGTTGCTGGTGGTGTGTATCCTCACCTCCTCTGAGATGATGGTTGCCCGTGGCGACGAGGACGAGGATGCCTTCCCGGCCCCGGCGGCGGTGGCGGCGTTGGGAGATGACAGGGTCTTCTCCCTAAGGGCCTCCTCCAGGCGGATCCTCAGGGCATTGTTGGTGTCGATGCTGCGCTCCAGCTGGATCCGGAGGTGACGCAGCTCCTGGAGGAGCTCAGAGAGGTCGACGCCCGTGGTCCGGTCGATGACGTGGAGACGGGATGGGGAGGGGCGAGATGAGGAGTGTCCGTTATCCGCACCCCTGCCTTGGGAACCAGGTGATCTTGTGCTGCCATCTATGAGTAGATAATGGGGTGGAAAAATATGATTCTTTAAGCCATGAGATTTGAAGGCGTGGTTGAAACTACCTTGAGGGAAAGACTTTAATATTGTCTGTTTGGAGCCAGAAGAGTGTTATCTCTCGCATTAACACAGACTTAATGCCCTTCTCTCTCTGAACAGAAAATACATGACAGCAGATAGTGAAAGACACAGCTATACATACTACAATATCAATGGAAACATTCCGTTCATTCACACTATAAACAGCATGTTCTTATAATAATAATAATAATAATACTCAGTTTTTATATAGCGCTAATTACAATCACTAAGCGCTTCCAAACTTGGAGATTTTTACCCCGGCTTTAGTTGTGCTGCCATTACAGAAAATCTACCAAGTCTAAAACCTACTTATTCACAAGAAACTCTTTCAAGTTTACTTCTAGTAAATAAGAGATTTTACATGTTGTCTGTTGAGAGCCAGAAGGGGAATAACACTGTTCAACAGGATATGAGTTAACACCCTTCTGGCTCCAAACAGACAATAACTTTTTGATGCATAATGCTTTACACACATAGTTTAATGTTTTCAAAAAATGTCTTTTAAAACCTTTCAGATCTCACAACTACCAAAATTGTTTCCACCTTCTATAAGGACAGGAATAATATTCTAGCATAAAAACATTACTAAGGTTTTGACTATGCAACTTTGTGAAAACTACTAAATCACTAGAACTTCTCAAAAGACAGAAATAAAATTCTAGCAAAACACATGACAAAGATTTGGACTATTCAAATCACCTTTTTGATGGAGTTGCTCATAGATACTGAGTTCAAAGCGTAGTGAGTTTGCAAGCTGCTCGTTATCCGTCACCTGATCATGTAGCCTCTGATTCTGATCACTATACCGACGCTTCTCAGAGAGCAATCTGGAGGGGAAAGAAAAATGCAGTGAAATTCACCGCCTTGCACAAAAATCCCCTGCCTTGCACTATTTCAAGAGTTTTATAACACTTGTGCTTTTTTAACTCTACAAATATTTTCAAGAAAATGTCTGAGTTCACAGATATGAAGTAGCTATTTCTTCATACACCTAAAAAAATATCTAAGCTAAATCGAGTAGATAAGTGTATTTACCTGACTTTTTACTGCAGTGAACATGTCTGTAACCTGTTTAATTTGCAGTCTGTTATGTCATGTCTAGAATTCCTTATCAAATGATTCAAACACATTTCAATCATTAATTTCTTCCACAAAATGTCTGCAATGTCTTCTAATGAATTACTTTTTGTTTCTACAACAGTTTGAATAGTTGTCAAACATCTTTATTCTCCCTGTACAAATTATTTTTGTATACCGGTACATGTTTCAAGGGGTACATCATAACAACTTAAGACAAACATGAAATGTTATTTACCTTTTGATTTCTTTGTTTGCTCTGTCCAACTCGGCTTTTACCCTGAGGGTCTTGTCCTCCTGTTCGGCAAGCCGCCTCTGGAGGGCGCTATTGTCGGTCGTCAGCTTGATGTTGGTTTCGTACAGGTAGATACTACCTTGACCTACAAACAAACAATATAGTGAATGATTAATGGCTATTGTGGTGATCAGATATTGGCTCTAGCAACTTCTGCCCGAGGCTTCAATTAAAGAAACAGTAAAAAATAAACAAAAAGACTCACTTTTAAAAGCTTCAATTTAAAAAAAAATAAGGTATCCAATATCTGGGCCCTGTTTCATAAAAATTCTTATCAATAACAATTACCATAGTTCTATATCAACTTTGCTCTCAGTCAATCGAATGCAAGGATTTCAGTAGCTTATAACAATTATTGTAATTTGTCATTTATAACAAGTTTTACGAAATGGGGCCCTGCACCATCATTGCAAAAAAGAATTTGACATTTCCCAATAATATTGTTACAAGCAAACTTGTCGTCGTTATCATTAAGATTATCTTAAAGACTTGTATCATATCTCCGTCCCATTGTTTAGTACGGTAAAGGTCCAAATAAATGATAAAGAAGTTTTACCATCCGAGTGTTCCGAGCCAGATGAAGTCGTCTTCTTCCTCTTCTCTCTGTGCTTGTCGTTCATCGTCCTCGCTTCCTCCAATCTGTCATGCAGGATGATGATCTCTTTCTCGTACTCCCTGCAGATAGGAAATAACATGTGATGTACGGGATGGTCAATTCCAAGAGTTACATTTCCAGAGAATTTTTTATTTTGAAAGAATAATATTATATATAATAAGCCCACGCACGCCAGCCATTTCCCCACTCCTCACGACAGATAGTCAACCTGTTTGAAACATTGAGCCCCTCAAACTACCCACCCTCTCCAACAGGCTCAAAGAAAGATTACCAACAGTCTTTTCCAGGACTCCCCAATGCTCTCCCCTCACTCACATGGTGCAACCGTAAGCCTACTGTATATCTACATCACCATGCAAGCCGATACTTATAAGCAGCATCTAAGAATATTATAGACATGACATTTTAATAAAAATCAACAAATTAATGATAGAACATATAAACTAATGTATGGTATCATTATAATAGAATTTCCTATCAAACGTCTGGCAATGTATTCACTAGACCATGACACCTCAGGGTGACAGAAACTACCTCGGAGCAAGTATCTTACCTCTCTACGTCCTTCCTTGAAGCCTCTGCTCTCTGCTCCTGTCTGCGTAAGATATCCTGCATGTCTTGAATCTGTTTCTTCTGGCTCTCCAGATCCTCCAGCATCTTGGTGTCCCGACCCTGCTCAGATTTCAACCTGTAAGTGGTGATAAATGATGATAATAAAAATACTTGCACCAGGTAGCTACATTAAAATTGCGCACATATCAATATTATTGCAGGGCCCTCAGGGAGAACAGTAGTAATACTGGAGAGGCCGCCCTGGTTAAACAAGACATATTTTCATTACCATTACTATAAGTCATGTTAAGGGCATTGTTTAACAACGTTCAATCTGAGACGCACGGCCCTACATGTTATCAGTGTCTGTGATATGGTGTTATATTGAAGCCCTAACAAAATTGCACTTCAAAATGATCAAGAAGTGCCTCAAAATAGTAAAAACCTTTGAGTGACCGGTTTTACCATACTCGTTTTCCCCAATAGACTGTATTGTTATAAAAACAGTTTGGCAACACAAATTTGATTTTGATTTTCAATCATAAATATCTTGGTAATTAGACAGGCCATCGGCTTGTAAAAGTCATGGGGTTTCTGACTGACCTAAAGGTTTATAATTGGCATTGCAGCATGAGCTAATCAAGGATTATTTTAAAGGATCTAAGACAAAGTTACCGGATCCCTTTGATATTGCGCCCATATTGATTCAAGGGTATGCTCAAGGTGTCTATAAAAAAAAGGGGTATAATGATATTATTGCAGGGCCCTCAGGGAGAACAGTAGTAATACTGATGAGGCCACCCTGGTTAAACAGAAAATAATTACCATGTGTTCATGGAAAAACACAAACCTGCCAAAACCACAGCAATGTGTTATTTCACAAAACTGAAGCAAATACGCATTCAATTCTGTCAAAGCAATTCTGCAAAATTACAATGTAATAATAATAGTTACATCTATCTAGCACATTATACTAATGTTTCTGAGCTCTAAACCTTTATACCTCAGCATTAGCCCAGCTACCCTGATAATGCTCTCTGGCATTCAAGGAAGTTCAAGGAGTGGCATATGTAGATTAATGTCTTACCAAAGGATATCAGTACAGCGGCCGGACCATGAACCTCGTGATCCACAATCCAGGGAAGGTATCCACTAGACCACGAAACCTCTGCATTATAACCTTAAAAGAGGTAGATGTACCTTTTCAGTGAATATAGTCACCTCAGTAAATAGCTTTTCGTAAAAAGATGGTTAAGGACACTTACCTTTTCAGTTCATCCTTCATGCTGTCTGCTTTGAGTTGGTTATTGTGTAGGATCTCTTGGAGTTCTCTGTTTAGCTTCTGTTGTCCTCTGATCTCATCTCTTAGCTGCTGCATCTGCTCGTCCTTCACTCGCAACCTACAGCAAATAATAATAGAGAATAAACTAAAAATCCTTTACAAATGTATGCTTCCTGGAAGAAATTTCAATTATTTAAACATATTTGTGGCTTACACCCAGTAAGTAAGTTTGATCTGTAATCGAAACACAAGTAATAAAATATCTTGGAACCAGTGGGACTTGAATCTGCCATCTACTGCTTGCCGTGCAACTCTACCACCAGGCCATCACTGATAAAAATCTTGTATAATACTATGTATGTGTATCCCTGTTTGACAAGTACAACGGAAAAATGTTGAAATAAACATTCCATGAGGTGGCCAGATAATAATAGTAATAATAATAAAAACATTGCTTATAAAGCGCTTTCCACCGAAGTCTCTAAGCTCAGAGGTAAGGCAATGGTCTTGTAACCTGGAGGTCCCTGGTTTGAAACCAAGTCAATGCCCTATGGCCCTTCGGTAAGGCATTAATCCTCATAAGCAAGTCCCTCAGAGAGGAATTAAAGCAGTCGATCCTCTGGTTACTTCCTTACAAGCATATACATGCTTTCTTAGCAGTCAGGTAAAACAATAACCAACCATCCACCATAAAGAATTGGTGATAGTGAGATATGAAAGAAACATATTGTCAAACCTGTGTCAGAGACCACCTCTTTATAAAGACCACCTGTGTATTGAGATCAAAGACATAAATATTGCTTTCTTCTTGAAAGAAAGGCCACCTGTCTACAAAGACCCCCTCTTCCGATTATATCAGGTGGTTTTTATAGACACGTCAAACTATATAAAAGAGAATGAATTTAATCACAGTGCATAAAGGAAAAAGAAATTTCATGTCATAATTCCAAAATTACTAAATCATATGAAAGAGTTCTCATAGTTACCTGTCTGAAAACAATTCCCTGACATCGTCTTCACTTTGCCTTCTTCCAAACTGCGATTCATCTGTAAGAATAAACATCAATGTAAAACTTTATTCAATCAAATGACTAAAAAACATGTAGAGATAACAAAAATATCAGAGGGTATTCTCCCGGCGCTACTTTATGTAAAGTTGACTCTTCATTTTTTTCTTTCCTATAACAAAGAAAAGTGATGTAAAAAATTTGCATAATTCATTACAGTTCAGATAACCCAAGAGAAATATCAGTAAAAATGTGTTCTTCGAACATTTATAACAAAACATAAATTATTTGGAAGGCAGATACTGTGTTCATCTATACCGAAAGATAAAATGGTAACTAGTTACATACTAACACTTACTTACTGTTCATAGCACCTTTCAAACTACTTTGAGTTTGATCTGATGAATGTAAAGCCATTGTAATGACAAAATAATGTAATGAAATTAATGGTGGATATAATGGTAATTGTTCAAATTTTTATAATTTTATCCTGATATATGTTTATTATCTCATACTGTGAATTTTTAATTCTGTTCTATACTCTTTATTTTCGAGGATGCAGCCTGTAGGGGATGACATGCTTTCGAGTAATAGCAATTTCAATTGCTTTTGTCACCCCTAACCAGCAGATTGTGTCCTTCTCTCTCTCCTCTCCACTTTTTTTAAAACTGTTTGTATTTATTATGAATAATTGTTATACTCACTGTATGTTTTCTGATTGGTCAAATAAATAATAATAACAAAAATAATAATAATAAGTAGGTGATCACAACTTTACTTCTGACTGTTACATTTTGCTTACCTCCTATGAGTCTTTTGATTGTATCCACCACTTCCGTGCCATCTCTCAGCCTCTCCTCAATGACAGTCACCCTCTCAGAGTCGGCCCCTTCCATGGCTGTCTTGTTATCCTTCTCCAGTCCCTTCAGGATTCCCAACGCTTCCGTCAGCATGTTGGTGAGGACAGCCATCAGGCTGCGAAGCTCCGCCAGCTGCTCGTGGAGCCGGCCGATCTCCATCTCCTGGGACCTGATCACCTCCTCGCTGAAGGAGTTCTGCTTCTGGGTCTGGAGCTCCACCAGCTCAGACAGCAGCTCCTGGTTGCGCTCCTGCAGGGAGCCGTTGGCGTCCATCACCTTCTCCAGCTGGCTCGTGACGTTCTCCAGATCCTGCTGGAGACGCTCAAAGGCCGCTCTGTTGGCGACCAGCTCGAACCAAGGGTTGGGGTTAGAAGGATCGCGGGATGGGCTGGTGGGGCGGCTTAATCCGCCATTTTGAATACGGACCTGGAGCTTGCGGATGACGTGGCGGCATCTCTTCAACTGCTTCTTGAGGACTGTAACCTGCTCTTTGAGTTCATCGGTGTCGTTGGTCAAACCAAACCCAGCAAACGTTACATCAGCAGGGCCCACACTTCTTTCTGATGGGGTCAAGCTTGCCGAAGATGTACTGTCCCTGTCGTCATCAGAACTGGGGATATGCGACAGAGAAACCGCCGACAAGCGACGGTTAGCTTGAGCATAAGTAGATGTATTCAGCAGATTGGAGTCGCTGCTGACACGCTTAGGGGTACCTGGTACTGGCAATCCCACGTTGTGGAGTTGTCTTCTATAACGCTTGATGCGTTCGGCCTGTTGATGAACGGTGCCCTCCGTGGCATGAAGCTTGAGAGTCAAAGCTTTGAACCTTCTCTTTGTTGCATTCATCTCCAACTGGGCCTTCTCAAGCTGCTTGTTCAAAGATGGAGGCATGACAGCCTTGTTCGAACTTGAAGCCTTTCTCACTGGGATCCTACTGGTCCGGTCTGCTTTATCACGGGTCACTTGCTCTTGGTCCTGCGTGGAGTCCAGCTCCTTGCGCAGACGCTCAATCTCCTTTGCCATGTCTACAATTAACTCAGGATTGAACTCTCTCTCCTGTCCTTCCGCTCCTGAGCCATTCAGATGAATATGCCTCTTCAGAAGCTCAATCAAGTTCTGCGCTTTGTCCAGTTTCTTCTGGAGAAGTGCGACCTGCACACTGTCTGCTGAAGCACCCATCGACGTCTGTCCATATTTGTTCTGGCTATCATGTTGTCTACCCTGTACACGTTTCACTGCTTCCTGAAGCTGAGACGCTAGGTGTTCATTCTCTAACTTGAGGTTGTCAACAAGGTCTCTTCCAGACTCTGGAGGAGATTCAGGACCAATACCGAGATGATGACGTAGAGCAGCATTCTGCTGTTCAGCTGCCTGTAGTTTATGATTCTTCTCTTCTAGCAGTGCTTTGGCTTGATCAAGCTGTTGCTTCAAGATTGGAACCACATGGTCTCCTGTAAAAACAACAGGAATTTAAATTCATCATTACAGATTTTCTATTTGACAACGACCAGATGAAAAATGTCTTTAATAATAATAATAATAATAGCTAGTTTTTATATAGCGCTTTTCAGGACCGAAGGCCCTCTCAAAGCGCTTTACAGAAATATATACCGGTATATATATTTATATCCATACTATAGAGTTAACCTGCATTCATAATTTTCTAGTGTAACTTACAGTTTTGCCAACACAACATTAACTAGCATGTCATGAATTAAATGTATGGCATAGCAAAAGGGAAAAACATTCTTACTTATCAAACTAATTGATGATTCTAAAGAATTTGCTGCAATAGTCATTATTTACTAAAGAACAGAATCAAGTAGTGTCATTTCATTTCATATTTTCATTACCTGAACTGTCACTGCTTGCTTGATTAAGTAACGCTGCATCCAACTGTTGTTTGAGTGTGGTGTTCTGTCTCTCGCTCTCCCTCAGCTTCTTCCTCAGTCCTGCCAGATCTTTCTGAAGCCCAGAGATCACCTGGGGATCACCGTCCGTCTCCTGTCCGGGAACGCTCCTAAGGCTCTCCAGCTCCTCCCGCTCAATCCTCTTCTCCAGGGACTGGTACCGCCTCTTGGCATCCTTGAGGTTGGAACGGAGATCCGCCACCTCCCGCTGGAGCTCCTCACGGGTGGCAGCGGTGGGATCGGTCTGGTCGTGTCCTGGGATGCTCCTCAAGCTCTCGAGCTCTTCCCGCTCCAACTGCTTCTCAAGGGTCTGCTGCCTCCGCTTGGACTCCTTGAGCTGAGACCGGAGCTCCATCACCTCTCTCTGGAGCTCGTCTTTGGTGGCAGCTGTGGGATATGATAGTTCGTCCAGGCTGAGACCCGGTTGGGGAACTGGAATGTAGAGATTGGTGTCTCGGGAGAAGAGAGGAGGTGGTTGCATGCTCTCTGGATCATGGCCAACTCCAAAGCTTCTGCGCTGTGCCTCACTGGCTGTGGTGATAGTTGGCGAAACATCTGAAAATGAAAAAATGGACAAAGGCATACGTTTTACATGGATAGTTGTTACCATCTTCAACGTAATATTACAACAGATTAACATGATTATCAGTTACAAGCAGCACAATTTTAAATTCATTTTCAGTCTTATTTTTCTTGCTCAGATAGTCTACAGCTCATTTAAACTAAATCGAAGTGATACTTCCTTTAATTTTCTTAACATCAAGAGCACTTGCTGAAGTACTCACCATTGCTATCACTGCCGACTCCGCTACCTACACCACTAGTCGTTGACGATTGCACAGCACCTTGTCTGTCTATCACCACATGCAGGTGATTATCATTCCTCCTTCCCATGCCCTCCTCAATCTGCCTCCTCAGGGTCTGCATGGCAGCCAGTTCAGCCCCCAGGACGTCCCTCAGGCTGTTCTTGTCTCTATCATCGTGGGACGTGTCTCGGCTGCTTCCTGTCTCGCTCTGGTGGGTGATGTTGACGTTGAGGGGGAGGTTGGCGTGGAGGGCGTTGGTAAGGCGACTAAGCTCTCGGATTTGTTCCTGCATGAGCTGTTGAAGCTATGTAAAAGCACAAAGAAAAGGAGATGATTCAACATCGACGCTACACCTAAACAATGTAAAAAATAAAGTATTGCACTTGTAGAAGACAGTCAATCTTTGAGTGACCGGTTTTACTATACTCATTTCCCCCCCAATAGACTGTAGTTATAAAAACTGTTAGGAAAACAAATTTTAACATTTCTATTTCCAATCATAAATATCTTGATAATCAGACAGGCTTCCGGCTTGTAAAAATCATGGGGTTCCTGACTGACCTAAAGGTTTATGATTATCATTGCAGCATGAGCCAAATCCATGATTTTGTTTCAGAATCTGAGACAAAGATACCCAATCGATGGTTCCTACACTAAGTCAACAGGAGAAAACAGAGGTCAACGAATCAAGACTATGTTTGTACCTGTTCTGATGTATCACTTCCTCTGGGAGATTGGTCGCTATTTCCCAACCTGCCGTTCTCCATCTTCAGTTCCTGCAATGTACACAAAATAGGAAAGTGTTAGTCATTTATAATGCACACTGAACATTTTCCCCCAAAAAAGAGCCTATCAAAAAGAGCGAAAGGTTTGCAATTAATGTTTACATGAAAATTAAACAACATGGTACCAAGAACAGAACCCTGAGGTAAACCATATTCAATAGAAGCAAGTTGGGAAATATTTACCTCCTTGCATGACGTGAGAGAAGGTCATGCATGTTTGGTGTAAGGCACCACAATAACAACAAAATATGGTGTGATATCATTATCTGTTGATACACACGCAGCAACTTCTATAATATACAGTAGGCTTACGGTTGGACCATATGAGAGAGAGGGGGAGGATTGGGGATACCTGAAAAAGGACTGTCCGTAATCTTTTTTTCTTGAGTGTGTGTGTAGTCCTGAAAAAGACTGTTGGTAGTCTTGAAAAAGATGATCAACCCGTTCGAAACGTCGAGCCATTCCTACTACCCACCCTCTCCAAACGGCGCTATAGTTCTCCTTAACACTATAAGCTCAAGAAAGATTATCAACCGTCTTTTAGTCAAGGCTACCAACAGTTCTTTTCAGGACTACACACATTCAAGAAAGAAATATTACCGACAGTCCTTTTCAGGACTAACCAATCCTGCCCCCTCTCTCTCTCACATGGTGCAACCGCAAGCCTACTGTATATCTACATCACCATGCAAGCCGTTACTTATCAGCAGCATATAACTTCTTTAATGTCTTTAAAATGTTCTTTAAAATTGCTACATATTTGACACGAGCTGCTTGTATGATATAAGTTGGCTACTAGGGGAGTCAAGGAAGACTGAGAATATATCTTATTCACGTAGGATGACCTTACCTTGATCAGACCATCCTTGATCCTTCCTGCATTGTTAAGCTCATCGATGCGGTCTTGCTTGGCTTGGAGGTCGTCCTCCAGATCCACGATCTTCCTGCGAAGCTTGGCCTACAGAAAGATACAAGAGAGAAGTCGGTTTATATGCTGCAAATATACCTGACAATGTTAAAGGTGTTGACCAGTTTTAGAAACGCCCCCCCCCCCCTCAAAAAATTAAATGGAAGCTCTTATTACCAATCATGTGAAAGAATATGTTTTGACTAATATGTGATGACACAAATTTTACTGGGAAACCGCCTACTAATTGATATATTTGGTAAATTATCATATCGATCCGACCTGGATAGATATCGCGAATGCACTTCAACATTGAACATTAGGGCATATATTTCTGCTTTTTGCAAATTTAGGTTGAAGTATTGCCATCTAAACCTCTGAAGGCAATATTTAAACAATATTAAATGGATATTTTGCACCCAAACCCTTGCACCGCAATTTTACCACTACCGGTCTATACCTTTAATGTCTCTGAACAGACATTCTTAATTGCTCTATGGATATCATAATAGTTGGTTTGACTGGAGTAAACTGTGATTGTTATATACCATGTTTAAGTTGAAATCACTAGTTCCTACAAAAATCCATGAAGAAAAACATGAGCTCCTGCACCCTTCAGGTGACTTTTTGAGCTGATGGGGACACTTATCATCATCACTGGAATGATTAAAGGAGACTTACTGCATTCTGTTTGGCCTGCCTATCTGCCTCTTGCCCATCTTGAAGAGACTCCAAAGATTCCCTGAAACGCACACAAATGGAAAAAGGGAAACTCATCAAAAACATGAACTTCAATATGGAGAGATGAACTTCATAATGAAGAAGATTATGGAGGTTATGGTTTCTTTTTTTGATGTTGGTGACTGATCAGGATGAGGCTTGTTAGGGTGATGGCAATGATGATGATGATGATGCTGGTGATGATCATGATAATGATGGTGTCAATGTGATACTTATGATAATAGTGATCATAGTCATAATGTGGTTACAGTGAAAATGATCACATTACAATTCAGACCGCAAGAGATTAAAGATAATATCCTGTAATAAAAATAATGGCACAACACTTCTTAATAAGAAACTTGTTTCACTCACTTTGCCTTGGCTAGTAGTTTATTTTTGTTATCCAGATCCTCCCTGAGAGAGGCCACATATTCCTCATCAGGCTTCTGAGATCTCAGTCTTGCTAGCAGATCTATCAAAGATGAAACAGATATACATTAAAGGGATTTGGTAAATTTGTCTCAGATTCTGAAACAAAATCCTGGATTTAGCTCATACTGCAATGATAATTATAAGCCTTTAGGTCAGTCAGGAACCTCATGACTTTTACAAGCTGATCGCCTGTCTGATTATCAAGATATTTATGATTGGTAATCAAAATCAAATTGTGCGTTTTCCTAACGGTTTTCATAACACTACGGTTTATTGGGGAGTATAATAAAACCGGTCACTCAAAGATTTTTACTTTTTTGAGGCACTTCTTGATCATTTTGAAGCGCAAAATAGGAATCCTTCCTCTAAAAATAGGAATGGTTGGCAGCTATGTGTCAGATATACTAATCTTCTACAGATTGCTTACCTTTATTTATTTATTTGTTTCTGATATTTAGACAGGGTGGCTCATTATCACTAATAACGGTGGTCCTCCATGAGGCACTGCTAAACATGATGAGGATCAATAATACAAATTTAAAAAATAAAAATAATAATAACAAAATCATGAACATACCTTTGAGTTTGTCTATCTCCCTGTTGAGTCTATCATTATCATCCTTGAGCCTTGACATCTCGGCATGGTGTGACGGACTGGGTGACGCCCTCACGGCCGACTGCTGCATCTCCAAGAACAACCTGTCCTTCTCCCGACCACTCTCAAGCAGCTTCTGTTTATAGTAACGGAATCAACATTTAGTGAGCACTAGTATAAGAATAAATGGTTATGTGAGATGAAAACAATGAAAACATGCATGTAAATACTAAATCGCTATACTTGTATATAAAATGAAATTCATAGCATAAACGAAGGAATTACAATTTCAAAAGAAGAAAATAAAATCATAAACCTCTCGTTAGGCCTCGACTTTCCTCTACTATGATGTGACGGGACATGAATTCAACCATGCCCCTTTTGATAGGTACTACATGTATCTCACATAAAAGTAATTTTTCTTCTCAAATGTCTTGTCTGGTCTCTTTGTTGATGGCCACAATCAAATGAGTTTATTATTACAGCACCAAGCGTGTAGACAACACTTTTTACTTCTAGCCATGCCATTCAGTACTGATAAAGGACAAACCATTAAATTTAAGAATGGAAATCACGGTAAAGGTTAAAAACAACTTTCTCTTCATGCAACTTGGGGGAACCCCCTAAACTTTACCTTTCATCTACTGACAAACTATAGGGTAGGCATTATTTATTAGTAGTAGAGGCGTGTTTCTAAAAAAATAGCCACAACCCAAACGCTAACCCTAAACATACCTGATGCACAGTCATGTATGCATATGGATGCAAATTAGCTACCTTGGCTAAATTACGTTGTGGCTATTTTAAGAAACATACCTCTACAACTGATTCAATAATGCCTATCAAACTAAAGGCAACTATACCTCTATCGTCTTGTCTTTCTCCCCCAAGGCGTTCCTCATCTTTCCAAGGAGAGTGCCCTGCTCATGGTCAGCTCTTGCAAGCGTCTCTTCTGCGTTCTATATCAAAGAATAATGCAAGGACAGCAATATAATTTTTATTCCAATACATCAACATTCCTCTTTCAACAAACCACTTATTCACCATACTTTGGCACACACAAAAGTGTCTCTTTTTTGCTTTGTACAGATTTTACTCTCAGTTCTTATTTCATGGAGAGAAAAACATGCTCTAGACTTGAAAATATATCTCTGACATAAGTGAGCAAAACACTCTGACATAATATAATGGCACACAAAAGGTCTTTTCTTTGTAAAAAAAAAAATGATCCTCTTGAGTTCGTAAATATATAGAGAGTAAAAAGCTAGACTTGAAAATAAACGTATACCATGAATGAATATCATATCAGCCATTGTAAATGTAACATCAGGATCAAACTTCTCCCCCCCCCCCCCCCCAGAATTCCTGCTTAACAGCCCTGAAATTACTATTATCACGAGAATTTGTCACAGCAAAAATATCGTACAAATGGCTATAAGCACGGATTACAATCATACCAGGAGAAAACTAATGAACTATTATTCAAAGGAAGTGAGAAGTAAAAAGGTTGGTGCATGTAAAATGATAACAGAGAAACGTGATTTTGCATATGTTTGTTTGTTTTACCTGACTGCTAAGAAAGCATGTGTATGCTGGTAAGTAAGCAACCAGGGGGAAGACTGCTTTAAGTCCCTCTGAGGGACTTGGTAAGAATGATAAATGCATTACCAAAGGGCACTAGTGCATCAACTTGGTTTTGAACCCGGAGCCTCCCAATTACGAGGCCACTGCTCTACCACTGAGCCATCACGCCTCCCAAGTATCTTTAACTGTTTACTAACCTGCAGTTCATATTCCTTCTCGTTGACCTGTCTCTGTAGGTCTCTCAGTGCGTTGCTCTTAGCTACCAGGGCTCTGTTGTACTTGTCATTCAGATCCTGAAAGGGACACGAAACATACAGTTTGCTAACTGAATACAACTGTATCAATAATCACTTTATTTCTCATTATCTAAAATTTCTTCTGATCCCGTCTCTGCTCGTTCTCGGATACCCTCTCTGATGCTCTCTCCCTTATTAGTTTACATATGTCACACAATCACAATATCACCTCCTACCATCACCACCTCCCTCATTTATAAGTCGCATACAGGTGTACATGTAATTGTATCCATTTTTATGTGCTCTGTACATTATATGTAATCCATTCTTTCTCATGACATGATTAAACTCAAGTTGCCAAATTATTCAATCACTACAGATGGAATCACAGCTACAAATAAACAAATTAGAACACTGTAAATAAAGAAATTAATGATACAGTCAAACTTGCTTTAGTGACCACCTGTCTACAATGACCATGTGTCTGCAAAGACCAATTTTTTTAGTTTCTCTCTTCAAAAAATGCTTTCTCATTGAAACATGTACTAAAGGAACATGTAGATAAAGACCACCTGCCTATAAAGACCACTTTTTCTTGTCCCCTTTGGGTGGTCTTTATAGACAGGTTTCACTGTATTGTCATACCTTGATCTGAGTGTCCTTGTCTCTAATGGTCTGCAGGAGGTCTTGCGTAGCTTTCTCATTGGCCGCGGCTACTTGAGCTCGCTCCCGGACAATCTCCTATTTTAAAAAAAATGCCACAGAAGAGATAGAAGTACATGTAGGACAGGGATAGATAGGGCAGTGTTACTAGAAATGGCAATTTAGTTTTTTTGCTTTAAAAAAAAATAAAAAAATATGCACTGAACTTCTGCTGTACTCGCGAGTATTGGAATAATTCCTAGTTCGACATCTCTTTCTTTCTCCCCCCCCCCCACCTCCGCCCTCTCGCCCTCTCGACCTCTTTCTTCTCCCCTTCTCTTTCCCCATCTTTCTCCCCTTCTCTCTCTCTCTCTCTCTCTACTCAATCCCATTAACTATCTATCTATCCCATCTATTAACTCACCTATAGTTGTTCACTATCATGCTTGATTTGTTCAGTCTCTATATTCTCTCAAAGAAATGCTCATATTGTCACCCCTAGGCTCTTCTAGGGTGGAAATTGAAACATTCCTAGTTTGACGACACTCCCCCCCCCCCCCCCCAACACTCCCTTGATCCCACCAACACCATAAAAGTACAAACACATCTTCAAACACTCACCTCCAGTTGTTTATCCTTGTCCCTGAGTCGTTCGGTCAGCTGCTGGATGGCCACGTTCTGGGCCGCTCCGTTGCGGTCCTGGTTCTTCTGCTGAGCGCCTCGTTCCTCCTCCAGCTCCCTCTCCTTCCCAGCGATGGCTGCCTGGAGACGGCTGATGATTGCATCCTTCTCACCAAGGGACCGGTGGTGGTTATCCTCCGCATCCTGATGGAGCAAGATTAAAAATAAAATCCATAATGACTGACTCATATCAGGGTTACATTTTTATCAAAAATATCATGATCTAATTTAATTTCATCTTGCATATATTTTGTTTACATCACTATTATTGCAAAACAAATACTATTGGGAGGGGGTGGGGGTGGAGCAAGATTGTAAATAATATCTGTAGTGACTGACTCATATCAGGATTACATTTCTAGGAAAAATTATGATCCAATTATATTTCATCTTGCATGTGTTTTATTTTATTGTTATACAATCTGGTTTAAATGGGACCTCTGGGGGCCGTGTCTTAAAAAGAGTTGATATTACTTGCAACTTATTTGCAATTGATATCAATAGCAACTATGTACATAAGAGATAGGAGACTGCAAACTTGCGATTGTTGGGAGGACTTGCGATTGATTTGGATCAATCACAACTCTGTATTAAATTCAATTCATTTTATTCCATTCATCATATAAAAACAACATAATTATAACATTGATATAATACAGATAACTAAAGAACATACAAATAACATAACGAAAGATAAACATAAAATACAAATATATATACGAATGAGGAACCAGCAAGAAAGAACAATTAAGTCGGGGCCCTGATCCCTCTGAAAACAGACTGGTCCTTTGGTTTGGTTTTTCATCACTTTGTTTGGAACAAATAGTCATGAATGGTTATAGGCTTATAAGTTAAAATAAAAGAAAGAAAATAAATCCAGACCCTCTTGGGTTTTTACCTAGAATAACTTTCAGGCATATCACTAAATAAAAACATAATTTCATGTAAAATGTAAAAATATAAAGTCTTCAAAGATTTGGAGAGATACTAAGTAAATTTGACATTGATGTGTTAATATTTTCACATTAATATTACATGGATTTGGGAATAAATCACCAGGATTCTTTATATAACTTACATGGTTAGCTTTGTTGAGTGCCTTGACACTGTCAGAGAGTTGTTTGTTCTTGTTGTCTAAATCCTTCATTTTAGCTTCCAGTTCCTTTATAAAATAAAAAACAAAAGAGAGACACAAATGACACTTTATCAAATCAAGTCGATGAAAATTGGTAACACTCATTTGCTTCTTATCTCTCATTTTCCTACTCCTTTTCCCCTTTGGTCTTTCATTTCAAACTTTCTCTCCTCTTCTGTTCTTTTATCTTGGCTCCTGTATGTATCAGTTTGGTACACATCTCAGTACTCCAAGAGCCTTCTATTTTTTTTCTCTCTCTCTCTCTCTCTCTCTCTCTTTCTTTCTTTCTCTCTGTATTCTTCTGTTTCTCTCTCCATCCCCCTCTCTTTCCATCTCTCTCCCTCTCCTTCCTCCCTCTCCTTCTCTCTCCCTTCCTCCCTCCCCCATTCTCTCTCTATCTCTTTCTTTCTTTCTTTCTTTCTCTCTCTCACTCTTTCCCTCTCTGTCTCCGAAAGATGCCCTGTCCATCTCTATTCGCCATGAGCACCGAAAGGTGGACCTGTGCGCTATGCAAGTAGCCACTTTTATTATCATTATTATTATTATTCAAATGTAATACTCACCCCTAGCCTGTTAGCATCTTCCATCATATCCCCATTAGCTCTCTCAAGGTCTCTTTGGTGATCCCTAAGGCTTTGTTTCAATGCTCTCAGTTCTGCCTCCTTAGCATCTACAGCCTTGATTTTCTCGTCATTTGCCTCCTAAAAGAAAGATAAAATTAACAGATGATACAGAAGTTCATTATTTTCTGTCATTTAAAAAATAAAAAAAATATCATGATTATCAATCATTAGTGTTGTCATGTTTTTATGTTAAACAAGTACTTTATGGAATCACAAGACATTAAACTTAGTTTTGCTTCTGTTGGAGATTGAAGCCTTTCCTCTCTTTTCCCCTTTCTTTTCTGTAAATTTACTTTTTATGTGTGACAACAGCTCTGCATATTGAAGAACTAAATAAGTAAGTAGGGATACAATCATACATAATATTATTAATAATAATTAGATCAATTTATATAGCACAGCTACTACACAAGTATACTCCACTGCACTGTGATGAAAACAAAACTTCTAACAGTGCTACTTTACAGACAAACAATACAATACTATTCAAAAGCTCCTGAAAACAAGGGCAGTCTTCAACAAAACGTTTCATATGTCTAGTGGTAGGTTATTGCAAAGCTTTGGTACATATATACATGGACATATATCTTTCCTCACCTGCAAAGCTTTATCCCTGTCGGCTAGTTTGTCTCTGAGGTCTTGTAAGATGCTCTCGGTTGATGCCTGCTGAGCCTAAGTGGAAGAGAGAAAAAAACAGGATAAGTTCAATATCGTTACTACATGCTGAATGTAGAAGATTTAAATAGCTATTGAATAGCCATTATAACAGGTCGATTAGTAATGATAGCAATAAGAACAGACATTTTCCATATTTTGTAAAGCCGAACAAAAACAACATCAACAAAAGCAGGCTTACACAATATGGCAGGAAAGATACTTATTGAATCAGACTATTTCCAGATCTATAGAAACTGGCCATTTGCCTAAATTCTTCAAACACTACAGTTAGCTCTGCATTTATAAGTCAAATTCATTGGGAACTTGAGTCTACAAATATTAGTTTGACTTATTGAAACATCAACTTTAATACAAAGTGTAAACAACATATGCTGCTTGCATAGTTTTGTCCAAAAATTGATTCAACTTCAGGGAAATTTTACTTGTGCGACTTCGAGTTATGCAGAGTGAACTTTAAATGTAGGCGCATGCATTCTCTACACGAAGCCAACACCCAAGCTCTAAAAAAAAAACCCTCAAAAATAGATCTTCGTTTGCTAGAAATCTATTGCTCTTCTACTACAGTACTACATGTATATGTCACTACACTACATGTACATACACAATGTAGGAACAAAATGTATCATGTCTCATGCTTACCAATCAATAGAGTACCCACACAGAATGAAAATTTTGAAATACAACTAAATACATGAACACTGCAGAGTCAACGTGATACATGTTTATTATGGACAAGCATGTTCCCACTATGATAACTGAACGCTGATTATGGGAGTTGAGAACTAACATGACTGTTTGAAGTGTAAACAAGAACCCAGCGAAAAACAAATATACATTAACCATCACCGGCTAGCTTTGATTTAAAGTGTACCACACTACCAATTACCACAACAAAAAATGTGTATGGCTAGAATGTATAAAATAACCCTCTAAAAAATTTAGCTGGCATTCTATAAGCCAGTGGATATAAAGTTGAAGAAAATAAAGAATAACACACAAAAATGCGAGCATAGAACCTAAATTGGACTTATGTTCATCAAGAGTGTTTTTATATGTGCAGCATCTCTTTATAGAAATAATATTTGAAGGTCATATTTGGAATATGTATGTGCTGTGTGTATATGGAACCTCTAACATACAGAACTAAATATACCGTGTATATATATAGTTTCAATTCTTGTAAAATTGTTGACACTACATGAACTCAAACTGACACATATTCAAATACTCTGTATTAATGAACTTTAATAACTATCAAAACCACTCGTTGTTTACGTTTTTGTTTGTGTGTTTAGTGTTTGTTTATTTAGTTTTGTGATAAATGTATGTGAACTTTATGTGAGGTCAGCCTTATACCACGATATTTCACCAATATGCAGTTTCTCTTTTTATACTTTGGGTATAATCACAAATATTAGGGTCTACTGGGTTCTATCTAGACAACCAAACAGAGGGGGGGGGGGGGGGGGGGGTGGTTGTATGCAGTACTCTTTTTCAGTATCTTGTTATTTCAAACATGTTGATGCACTCAGCAGATTAAAATGATATCCTAAAACACAATGTTAAAAAAAATATACATATTTTGCATACATATTAAATTGACTGATAAAACATTTATGGGAGATACAATGTATAAAAACAAACACAGAAACAAGAACAAATGTGATTTCACTAATGAAAAAAGCAATTTTCTTCATTCAGGCTTATAATGCAAATGCAATCAGCATCAGCAGTTGTTTTGTATTAATTAAAAACATCTAAACAAATACAGATTAGGGAAATATCTGAAATCCCATTAACTAGAAACTGAGAGAGTAGCAAAGAAATGACAAAACCTGGCACAAACAAGAGAGTATTAACAAGAAATACCACAGATATATATAACATGTACTAAAGATGGTGAGATACCACATGAACATAACAATGGTTAATGCTGATAGTTGGAATTGGCAGACCCTGACATCAAGGTTATTCTGTTAGCAGTATGGAGTTTTTTTTTTTTTTTTTAATTAATCAGTTTTCTATCCTCAAATTGGCAACAATTAATCTTATTTTTTAACTCCTTTTTAGTTTAATAAAAATTAAAACTGGTTAATAAATGAAACAATGTGAAGAATAATTGAGATATTTAAAAGAAAAATTGCCAATTTGTACTAAAAAATAGTGATTTTATATTTTACACCGCCTTGCCAACTCAGAGAGTTGAATGATAATTACAATTAAATTTCTCTCATTCAAAAATAGCACAACATACTGCATTGGAAATAGACTTGGAAAATGTTGGGATTTCGCTTTTTCTGCCCATGTATAATCTATACAATTCTGGATAAAAAGATAAGGTAAAAACTTCTGACCAATACAAGAAGACACAACGTACTGTTATGGTACCATATTCCCAGAGCCCGAATCAGCCAATATATATACAAAGTCACATGCAAATAAATGTACATCTAGTGATAAAAAAGATGTTCCCAAATACCAGAATAAACTGAAAAATAACACAGAATGCAAAACCTCAATGTTACATGAACACAAAACATTCAAATGGAATGACCACATGCATTTATAATCATGATAAATGGATGACCATGCAAGATGCAAATAACAAGACATTTTGACAATGTAATTCACATTAGTGACACACAGAAACTTACATCAGGCAAGCTGGCATTCTTTGCAAGCTCCATGTATTCCTAGTCAGATTAGTAATGAGTGATACAACAAAAAAGAATGATAAATGACAATTATGACATCAAAAAACATGCAGATTAAGACACTCTCTAATCAACTCAGTCATAATGAGAGTGACATACTGCTGCTGTAAACAGCACCCCAACAAATCCTCTAAAGTCTATGGATGCTTTAAAAAAAGAATTGGTGGCGATCGACTCTCCATTGAGACTCCAATACATAATTTTATAAGGATTTACAGATTAATGCTCCCCACATAATCCTCTGTAGCTAAAGGATTCTTCTATGAACTATCACTGGTATATAACCCTGGATTACACAATTTCCAAGGATTTTAAACTCAATTTACTGCTTCAAAAAGAGAATTTTTATAAGAAAAACAAATTAAATTGTCACACCACAAACAGATGTCCTATAGCTGAAGAAATTTCTTTAAAATGATTATTTAATTGTCTAAACATCTTCTGATACACTATTTTGAAGGGGTTGAAATTTACAGTACTGCTGCCAAAATGATAATTAATCATATGAAAATCGCTTCCCTCTGTTATAATTGTAGTCTTAAAATATACCTCCTTAAATCACCAGTCAATCAAGCTTCCAGTATAATTTTGAAGGGTCTAAAACTCACTTTACTGCTCCCAAAATGACAATTCTGACAACAAAACTTGCTTCCCCGAGAGTAACTACTACCAGCATATGTTTTCTGCTAGATCTTGGTGTGAGATACCAATCAATTAATGGTGGATGGGAGTTATGGAATGCATGGTATACAGTTATTATTCAATACATAATTAATCAAGCATGAATGGATGAATGGCCGATACTCAGCATGCATTGTGGCTGTTCACTCAAGCGGAACAAATCAAATTTCATCCGTGACGGGGACCTTAGAAGTGGAATTATACAATCAGTGGAGCAGATATTTAAACAATAAGCAAATGCTTAGAGGAAATATCCTTTTTACGAACCTGATGTTCACATACAGATTTTGATAGTATAAATATGTTCTCAATTACACAGCCTACATACCACTGTTTGAATATGTAAACATTGTATAATCCCTAATTCACATTTTAATGTTAAAATGTGCTTCATGCTGGGTTATTTACATAAAGTTCTTCTGTACTATACAAGATGTATATACATAAATAAATAAAAATGAAAAATGAAAATAAAAATATGAAGTTAAATTAAATTAAAGATAAATACAAATAAATAAAAACATTGTAATGTGCTGATCATGTGCAAAACTAAGCACAAGGAAAGCAACCATTCTTTGACTTACTCATTCATTTCTTCCCCCTCTTACATTTTTGTCTCAGAAAATCTTTAACCGCCCCCCCCCCCCCTCATATTCAGTTACATTGCAAACACCTGTACATATTTTCTTTCATACCAATAATTGGACTGCATATACACACAAACATAGCCTGTGGAATGGTTGGTTCCTGTATCAAATACACATGAATGAGAACATTCAGAAGTCTTCAGTTTAACAGTATTTTCTTCACCTCACACACACACATACCAATTCCAAGTCAACACAACCAAACAAGCACATCATCATCTCTAGAAGTAAACAATCAACAGTTTGTAGTTCCTACCTTGACTAGTCTGTCCTTTTCTTGGAGTCCTTTAGTCAGCCTCTGAATGGCCTTCTCCTTCATATCCAGCTGGTGCTGGCTATCATCAAGAAGGTTCTGATTTAATAAGAAGAAAAAAAAGAAGGAAAAGATAGATGTTGCCAGACTTTAAAAAGCTATCTAAGTACAATAGACACAACTTGACATATTCCAATGGAAAACAATTTTTTTTTTTTTTTTACAGTAATTGCTTTTCTGATTCCTTGGCACATGAATTTGTCCATGCTGCATTTTACAATTGAGCAAAATAAATGGGTTGATGTTTTACCTGGTAATGTTGTTTAATGGCATCTGCGTTTTCTTTGGATTTCGCTTTTGCATCTTGAAGTTGGTCCTTTAAAAGCTGCAAATCATAAGAGACCAAGAAGTAACAAGTTAACACTGAGACTTTGAAATTAATTATAAACTGGTAATGGAAATAGGCTACGAGACACAGAGAAAATCTGACTCAAAAGTAATTCCGAACTGATCATGGAGTATTGGATCAGTAACGTGTAAAGCAAGAAAAACCAATTGTAATTCATATTGAGCGAATAGTACAAGTCACAGGTTGGGACAGCAAGTTTTATTCCCTTATAGAGGTCTAGTGGATAAGTCTTCGGACTGTAAACTACAAGACAGGTTTGTTCAAATCCCGGCCACAGCACTAATGTATTTGGCCAAGACATTAATCTACATTGGCCACACTTAACCCAGGTGTAGAAAGCGGGGAAGTGGTATGATCTATTCCTTGAATGCACAGAGCTAAATCTGGGGTAATGATTTCCAAAACTCCTTTGGAAGGACGAAGAGGCAATACACCATAATGTGATGTGCGATATACAAAAACAGGATATCATTACTACAATCTCGCTTCATTCATTGCTAAAGGTATCATACTTTTCCAACCAAAATAATTTAGCACAATTTCAAAGTTTTTATACATTCAGAGTAACTTTTACGTGGCTTGTTAAGAATGCGTTTTCTATCACTACTAGAAAGAAAAACTACTATTAACCGACAACTTGTACAAGTACATGCATACTTGTTAATCTTTTTTGAGAAGTTGGCAGTAAGGAATCATTTCTGATCTAATACCTTCATTGTATCGTCTTTCTGCCTTGTCATGCCATCTGTTTGGTCCTCTGCTTCTCTCACCTCGTCTCGAAGCCTCTCTAACTCATGCTGCTTCCTCGCCATTGAACGCTGCAATCGCTGCAGTCAAAGAAACATGTATATACAGTCAAACCTGGGGGGTGTTTCACAAAACTTGTCATCAGTTACAAATGACAGTTTGTGTTATAAGCTACTGAAATCCTTGATTCTGATTGGTTATCAGCAGATTTGTCACTGATTTTTGTAATTTGTCATTGAAAAAAGGCTTTGTGAAACAGGTCCCTGTTTTAGTGACCTGTCTACAAAGACCACATTTTTTGTTTCCCTTGAAAATGGCTTCACGTTGAAACATGTACTAAAGGAATCTGTCTACAAAGACCACCTGTATACATAGACCACTTTTTTTTTTTTTTTTTCCCTTGCGCGGTCGTTATAGACAGGTTTACTTTAAATACATCTTATTCAAGTATTCAGAAAATTTGCCTTGACAGATTGAAGTCAGACAGATGTTATGGTATCATTTTAATTCATTGCATAACTAAATGAAATAATAATAGAAATTTAAATGACAAGTAAACTTGTTATACACTTCTGAGTTCTTAAATTCCCTTGCGCATAATACAGAAAAAACATTTAATACTGTAGGCAATGGATTACATTATTGTTTATGTAGGTTGGAAAAAGATTATTGATTATTTATTTATTTATCTATCCATCTATTTTAAACAATTTATTAAAAAGAAATCATTCGCGGCTAAGTGGCCGAATTGCAGATTCTTTTAAAATCATAATAGATGAAATAGATACATATTAAAGTTAGTGATAATACATTAATATAAGTGAAAATACAACATTTTTGACAAATGGCAAAATCCAGGGAATCAATCAAGGTTTATCATGATAGATGTCATGATAATATTACCTAAGTGTAATAGGTAGAGGAGAAATGTTTAACGATTGATATTAAAAATGAAAAGTACTGAAAAAAAATGATTATCTCACCTCATTCTCTAGATCTTTGGTGTGCAATTGTGATCTCATATCGCTCATCTTATCTTCTAATTCTGACAATGAAGTGTTTTGCTGCTCGATACCCTGATGAACAAACATATGCAAGTCATATTCTATTAAACTAGAGTTCATTCAGTTACAACAAAATAACAACAGCACGCAACACATTCCAGTTAAAAACTAATTATCTACACTTAATCAATTCAATACTATTCAATTTAAACAAAGTAAATTTAATTCTTATTCAACCTAAATCTACCGATTCAATTAAATTAATCTTGTACTGCAAACGCTGTTTTTTTTCGCTGGTTCTTAAATTTTTGTTGCGCGCAATTCAGCCCACTCAAAAAACGCATAAGAAGTCATGCTTTTCGCATGTTCTAAAATTTGCGCTTTCCGATCTTAGCATGAAATCCATGAAAATTAACGTACCGCAAATATTTCTACTTTTACAGTATAATCAAGTGTTTGGTTCAATTTAGTCTAGATTTCAGACTGTACACAACAGCAATCTTTCCCCATGAATAAATTGTGCTTTAAATAAATATCTGAATCAAAGACTAGCTCAAGATACATGTATCACAAGTAAGTTTCGAGAAAAATATAATTGGTGTGACATAAATATACAGGGATATCAGACAAAGGAAATAGTTGGGGGAAAATATAAGGTAACCACACACACACAACATAGGGAAGAGGAAATAAAATTATTAAACAAGTATACAGAACAAAGAAAACAAGAAAATGAAATGAATGCATGGACGAAAGAATGGAGGGCAAAATGCAAAAAGAACACTCCATATTGAAAAAAATGCTACATTGAATATTATTTATGGTACACAACCTTCTTAGAAGGCAAATAACCTATTATGACTTCATATTACCTCTAAATCTCGTTGTTAAAGGGAAACATCAAAGAGAAACAGGATACAACAATGTCAATAAATCCACAAATTCCAACAGGAACTGTATACTGGAATACATCCTATACGGAGGATAATCACATAGTGTAATGGCTATCTGCTTAATAGTGGTGTCTGAGTGAGAGTGTATTGCGCAATAGATCAAGTTGAGACTGGTCAGATATATGGGGCATGACTGAGTCAACGAGGGGACAAGTTAGTGCTTGTTTGGGATGGCATAAGGAAAGGATGGTGGTAATTATTACATCCATATAAAAATCAGATTTATAACAAGCTGCTTGCCTTTTTAATCGGGTATATAAAGGATAACAGAGGCAGGTTGCATATGTATGGAGTACATAGTATTAGAGAGAGAATTCAACAAGGTATTGTTTTGGGAATCAGCCTTACAAAAGATTTTGAATTCTTGGAGAATATGGTATAAATGAAGGACACTGTTAGTCTGTCTTTTCATTCAGCGTTTATCCAACCTTCGGAAGGTTTGTTAACAGGATTATACCTACCATTATCATTATTATTACCATTATTATTGGACACTATCATTATCATTAAAAAGGAGAATCATGAGCAAAGCAGGAAGGATCTATTTTTTGCCCCATGTTCTGTGAAACTGAGCAACATTATTCTCCGTTTTGAACCACAAAAAAAGGAGTATGAAATGGAGGCTATGTAGAAGCCAACAGAGTACTTGCAGAAGCAAACATGAAACCAGCAGTGTATTCAACAAGAAAAGATGGATGTATTCAAAGGATAAATCAATCTGGTAAGTTCCTAGTTAAAGCTAATCCTGTGTTATGTTTATATATGGAGTTGCATTTTGATAGAAACTGGCATAAACTTATTCTGAATACTTCATCATGTATTAAATAGATTATTTAGAAAAGCAAAAATCTAAACAAAGTAACAAAAGCTTTGCTCTTCCACAGTTTCAATTGAAAGCCTTTGGCTGATCTTATTTATTTCTAGCCCTGAACATTCAATGAACATTTCATTTGATTCTGCTGGAATTAACTTTCTGCCATTGCCAGAACTTGTGATTACTTTTAAATGAAAGTTAGAGATGATGTTTAATATTAAAAAAGAAACAGTGAAGGGGCAATATTGACACATGCATCAGAATGAGGAGAACATAAGGGGACATGACAGAAATGAAGTACTACTGTGTGCTCACCTCATGTTTCTTGCGCTCTGCCTTGTTGACTCTCTCATTAGCCTTCGTGAGGGCCTCCTCCATATCCTCTATTTGGTCACATAGTTGTTGAATCTGCATCAAACCATGAAAAAATACAAAATTTGTATTATGTATTATAAACCAACCTTCCCTTGTGTGAATACATCTATGCAACATGCACCTATTTTCAAAACCTTTTTTTTTTGTACATATACTGAAAGTTGCCACAAGTGTGAAAGTATACTGTAGATAAGTACATTGAGAGAAGGACGTTAACTAATATCATCTTACACAGAGTTAATATCATTCAGTTATCAGCACACAACATCTACATACAGCAATCAAAAGGTAATATTGAAAGCTAAATATATACATGAACGTGTATGTTTTTATATTTCCTTATTACTTATAGAATAAATACCAACAAGACTGAACAATCAAATGGAAAATATGTATGTGAACTTCTTCCACTCTCTTAAATGTTGAATGGATCAAATCAATTTAATTTGAATTTCATAAAGCAATATTGAAATGTAAACGGATGACTAACCTCTTTATCTTTAGCTCTGACCATCTCTGTCAGTCCTTGGATAGCCTTAGCACCCTTCTTTCCACCGCTCTCAAGTGTTCCGATCTCTGCGTCTTTGTCTTTCACTTTACCATCCAACTCCTGCAAAGCAATAAGAATAAACATTACTAACCATCAATTCTGTTGTAATGCTAATCTCTATATAGCCAACAATGCCTAAGCGGTACCTGATGGTCCCCCATGGTCCCCTTTTTCTTATGTTAATTGAGAGCTTATTTGATGAGATAACCACCTGTCAGTGACCATGCAGGGAGGTCTAATCCCTCCTAGCCAAACTAGTGCAGATAGGCTTTAAAGGAACTACCCTAAAAGTACAAAACATGATTCAAATTTGCTTTCCAGTAGATCTGTTTGTAATTTATAACTTGTATTACTTTTGTTCTTTTTCATGTTCCCCTTTATTTCGCACCTTGGGCACAATATTTGTGAGGAGTGGCACACTAAAATATATACGCTATAGACTATAATATCCATTATTATTAACAAATATGGCTTCTAGCTTTGCTCGATGTGGTTTAAATGTAGCAAGAGCAAATTATTAAAGATTATTGGGACTTTCATTTTAAAAATTGTGCTAATGATGTAAATAAACATGTTTTCTCTTTTCTCATCATGGATGGAAGCTGTTGACTGAAGACAATTTTGATGCTTTACATAACATCTAAGACACACTAAATTAAAAAATGCTAGCATCACGTACAAAGTATAACAAGATGGAGATAAATAACAACTATTGATGATTTGCATTTATTTCACAAAAACTCTCCCAAAACTACATCTAGACATAATTGTAGTGATCTGCAAAGACTCTTGCACATTTCGCTCTAGACAGTTATGAAAGTTACGATATGAAAAATAAGATGATGTACATACCTTGATTACTTTTTGTGACACCTTCAACGCGTTTTCTATGTCCTAAAAGGGAGGTAGAAGAGAATGACACAAACATGCATGAAATACTAAATAACAGCTTTCCAAACTAATTTATTTAACAGATTAACTAGTCTAGAAGTTATTGATAAAAACTGTATTTTACCTTCCTCATCTGAATGACAATGCAACTGATTTCACAGAATCTTGTACCATGACATTTCCCTCTCCATTACTAGCTGTTTTTCATATAGTTGAATTTTCATGTATGTGTTACTAACTTAATATCTTCAACCAGTACTCAGGATAGTTTTTCCCCTTTGCCTCTAATGAGGTGTTTATTCAATATTCAAACAATAACATAATTTCACAAATAATTTCACAAATAATTCAGCAAAACAATGGAAAATCAATAATACACATATATGTTCAAATATATCCAAGCAAATTTGCAGGAATTTCATATTTTGTACATTCAAATGTTTATTTTGTTTAATATTTTTTTTATTTGATAAATAAATATATCAAATTCAAATCACTTTTATCATACCCATACTTATTACAACAACAAATTTTTTTTTACAAGTTCTCAGGATTATGCTTCATAAATAATATATCAAGTTATCAACAGTAAAACATGTGCCTGGTACACTGTATGCACACACACACACACACACACACACACACACAAAAGATGGTACCTTAATGTTCTTTGCTTTGTTTCTGATTTCATCCTGGAATTGTTCGGTTGCATCTTCCAACTCACGAACTCTCTTCTCCTGTTCCAGATAAACATCCTAAAAAAACATTTAAAGAACAAACAATATCACATGAATCATTCTTTCATAGCTTTCAGGTATTTATTCATAGATGGGTGGGGGGAATTACATAGTATTTATCATGGACCAGTTTTATGAGGGTTATAGGAAACCTACTGGAACAGAACAGAACAAAGTTGGAAAAAACAAGAAGATTCATACTTGTTTGATTTAATTTTTCATTAAAATGTGTACTCTGAAAATGTATTTAACTTCAAAATAAAGAAATTTAACTTTATGTCATTCTTAAATGAATGAGACTATTCAAGTAATCCACAGAATACAAGTAAATTATTTATACATTTTCAAAAGATTGGTATAGATCATCCACTCTCTTTTTTTCACTATCATCACTGACATTGACAGAATTGATAAATTCTAGATACATGGGCAAGGCATTACACTACATTTTCCACTTCATACCCACGAAAGAAATGGAGACCTGGTAGGATGATGAAAGCCTTTGTGTAAGTAATTGCCATATAAACCCTCACGATGACCATATGGTATAATACTCCCCAGACAGTGCACGTTGTGCGTGAATGAATCCAATGACCAGGGTAATTATATGGGTAAAGATCTTACAATAGAGACAATATTTCATATCAAGGGCTATATAAATTCAGATTATTATTATTAACAATATCAAAAAATGTTGAACAAAATAAAAAATAAGTCACTGTCGATCATCTCACCTCATATTGTTTGCGTATCCTCTCCTTGTCTCTATCTTTATCTCTGCCTGCACCTTTCTCCATATCCTGTAGTACCACAATGGGTGAAAGAATAATGGAACATCAATTTCCACATATTGAAGAAGAAATCTTCATCTTAATTATAATGGAACTTCATGTTAAAAGATCAATGAACTTGCTTGTGTGTGTATGTGTCATTGGCACTATCTGGATGCTTGGACATGGTCATGAAGGAAATTGAATTTATTAATTAATTTTTCTTGTAACAGCTCTTTAAGATACTATGACCCAGCAAATGACAACATATGACACTTCTTATTTTTGGATCTAAATACACAGTGATCAGTGATTGGTGAATATGTGCAAGTCCTTTGTTGCATGCAGTTGCCATTCATTTACTCATATAAAACATGGTGGCTTTTTTAGGGGTGGCAGTTTACCGGGCCATATCTGAACAAGCCTTGATGCACAAGATTTAGGAAAATGATAGAGATTCATCACACTGAATGAGAATGGGAGAAATATTTTACTCACATCTATTTGGTCCTCTTTCTCCTGTAGCTGATCTTTGAGTTTGTTGACCTCTTCTTGTAAGGGTTGTAGCGTCTTTCTTGCAGTAAGGACCTTCTCATCGTTTAGTCTTCCTATGATTTGATCCTTGGCTCTCAGTGCTGAGTTAAGTTGTTCTATCACCCTATAAAAGAAAACATAGGATACATAATAATTATGATATAGTAATATGTGCAATTTTTCAGTAATCTATCATTGCAGTAAGGACCTTCTCATCCTTTAGTCTTCATATGATTTGATCCTTTGCTCTAAGAGCTGAGTTAAGTTGTTCTATCATCCTATAAAAAAACATAAGATTCATAACAATGTTATTTTTTTTCATATAGTATGATGAAGTAATAAGTGCAATTTATCATTGAATCTATCATTGCAGTAAGGACCTTCTCATCGTTTAGCCTTCCTATGATTTGATCCTTGGCTCTAAGAGCTGAGTTAGTTGTTCTATCACCCTATTAAAAAAAAACATAAGATACATAATAATGTTACTTTTTTCTTCATATACATGTAGTATGATGAAGTAAATTGTGCAATTCATCATTAAATCTATCATATATGGGATGAAGGGAGGACTGAGGAGACAAAGGGCTTTTGGACCTTCGATAGTCACGTCAATGCTACCGCATGTGCTCATACCTTGTAATACCTTGTTCAGCTAGACACAAGGGTATACAATGCTAATGAGAAACTGTTCTCCTCAATTAAAGTTGCCACTGACTAATAACTTGTCATACTGTAGATCAATGACCCCTACTCTCATAGGTTTAGTACTACAAGTATGACTAAACCCTTATACATGGAAGTCTTTGTCTGTATTTACAAAAGAGTATTGCCAGATTTTTTTGTGGACGGTTCACTAATGCTGATTTTGCAGCAATATTTTATATAAATCTTAAATGCAAATGTTCAGAGTTGAGATTGATCCGTTTCAAATCAAGAAAGTTTTGTTCAAATATGAACCACTCCCAAAATTTGCAAAAGCTTCTTACATGTACAAGTTTGGGATTTTTACATAAATTGAGGTGTCAGAAAAGGAAGAATGAAAATGCAGAGTTGAGTAGCACTGAGATTGCAAAAATTTCTCATTTATACGATGAGCAAGGATATAAAAGAAAAAAAAGAGGAAGATGAAATGACAGAACATAACCAGGTAGACAAAAATCATATCTAATAGAAGGAGAGAGAGAGAGAGAGAGAGAAAGGAGGAGGGGGAGGGTGGAAATTAGGGCGTAAAGAAGAATGTAATTGTAAAGAGGGAACATAACAATAGTAATAATACATATTTCTGGCTTTATACAATGCTTTACAATAAAAATAAACTTGTAAAATGGCAGTGCTGCACAAAACCTGCATGCTAAGACCAGGGTAATAATCGGGAACGCCAGGAGTGTCAAGTCTAGCAGATACGAGCGCTATACAAGAACCCAATATTATTATTATTATACCAGTTGTTTTGTGGAAGTTTGCATGCTAGTGTACATGTTTAATAATCATGGCTGTGTGCATGGTATACCGCAAGATGCTGTTCAAACCCGCAGTCCCCTCCGGCAATAGAAACATTGCCCGACACTTTAGCAGACACATTAGTAGACAAGACGTCACATTCTGTATCTCCGCAATCATAAGCCACACTTTAATCCCCAGTCAAATATAGTCCAGCACTTGACTGAGGCTGGCTTTCACACCCTAGCGAGGCCCTATAGACCTTGGCTTGGGGGATTATTTAACAAGCTAAGGGTGCGTTCAATCAATTTTTTGAAGCTATAATCATAAACATGAATCACAAATCAAAACGCCGTTAAAAAAACACGTTTACTGCGGGAGAACGTTCAAGCAATTTTCCATTGCTCATTTCAAGCCCAGTCACTGCTCATCACACTGTGTAGTTTGACCTTGGAAGTATAGGTCAACTTTGCCGTGTGCTTTCTGCCTGTGTTTACGATTGACTATCGGTCAAACCGAAACAGGACACAATAACGATGTCATAGAATCATGATTGAGATCTCCTTTCATTCAAGCGAATTTTAGAGACTGTGTTTCTGCAGAGTCACGATACAAAACGCATCTTTTTCAGCGTTTCATGTTTGTGTTTTTAAACATGTTTATTTTTACGACCGACGAAAAATAGCTTGAATGCAACCATGTTTTAAACTAAACGTCTTTGAAAACTGTGATTCTAGGGTGAACAAGTGTCGATTGAACGCACCCAAAAAGACTTTGGGGGATCATTTAACGAGCTAATAGAGCTAGGGCACACCCTGTGCACCAAGGCAAATGTTAAAATCATATCTCTTAAGTTTAATTCCCTGCAAGTGTTATAAAATATGGAGAAAATGCTTGTGATTTGAAGGATGGTTTAATAAAGGCAGCATGGTTGATTGTTGCCAATTACTGCCTAACAGCTGAGCTTGATTTCAATTCCAAAATTTTGGGAATCTTGCCTCAACAGAAGAAACTGTCATCACGTTGCTTTACTCTTAAGAGATACACTTCTATGGGGGGGGGGGGGGCTGGTTCCAGTTCTAGACAAAGAAAGTTGGCAGTAATATGTGCCATTATTGGATTCAAAGGCCAAAGAAATGAATAGTCTACAATGTACTTGTTTATCTGTGTATATTCATATGCACTTACAGTCAAACCTGTATTATGTACATGTTAAACCATTTCAGGGAGGAAAAAACATGTCTTTATATAGATTGGGGTTGTAATATATATATATATAGGCACAATTTTCAATGTATAATAAATTTCAAGGGAAACCCCCCAAATCTTTATTACACAGGTGGTATTTCCATACAGGTAGTTGCCGGACCAGATTTCTCTGTACTGCATTATTGTTGAGACAAATTCATGTATTTCCATTATCCAACAGCTCATATTCCTTGAATTTCCTTTCCCTTTAAATGTTCCACCTCCCACTGCACTGTGACCATGGCACATATCTTCTTCTTTGTTTTGCACATCGAGCCTAACATAGTATCCTGCATTTAAAAATAACTTGTCTCCTCCTATCATCATGCCACAAAAAATACCAATAACATGCTTTTCCTTCGCAGACAAACATTCTACTACACAAGGTACATGTACGGCATTCAGCCTTTCCATGCCGCGTTTGATCTGTCTCCCTTCCTGTTTTCTTTTCCCATTACAACTTCAGTTTGGAACGACTTTATTACTCTCTGTATGACTCATAGCAGCCTGTCAGGGATGTTGTGCTCAGTAGGCCTGTCCTCATCAGCTCAAGATTGCCAAATGGCCCGCTATTTCTGATTTGGGAAATAAGTCAGAAGTTACAAATCGCCTCTTCATCAGCTAGAGACTGGACCTCAAAACTCGAGCTCGAGAAATTAGCTTGATATATTTTGCTCAGCATTCGTGCATAGTACGCGTCTTCGGGCTGGTGAAGATGCACCGGACACATAGAGGGATATTTTGCAAACTAGCCCTAGATATCTTGGGATGACTATCATGACCAAATATCCCGCTAATTGCAACTGCAGGCTGATGAGGATGCTAATTAGCTAGATAATTTGCGACAGGATAGTTGAAATAGCAGAGTATTTGGCAATCTCGAGCTGATGAAGACAGGCCTAGTAAGCGCTGCCAAACTCTTACTGTTAAACGTACCTCTGCACGCGATGATGTATCATTGTGTTTTTTATACTACCAAGGACAATAGGCCATTGCAGTGCCGGGTAGTTCCTAGCTGTAACTAGGGAAGTGCTAAATATATCCCTTTTGTTTTGGTACACGTGGAACCTCCAACATGTTCAACCGGAACACACCAGAGTTAAAAACATTAAAAATAGTCCTTTGTACGGTAGTATGGGTACCAGTATGTATTTTTTCTATTGGTTTTTATTATGTGGCATAACTGGATAACTGGATAGGTTTATCATGATGCCCCCCCCCCTAATAATTCATGGGAGTATCATAATAAATCTATCCAAGCCCCTCAGATAGGAAATAGAGTTGTAGGTCTACTCATTTCTTAGTTCTTACCTACCAGTCTACATACATGTACATGTATGCAGAGTTGCAGACCTACCTCCTATTTCCAATAGGAGTATTATGCTTACAATTCTGATTGCAGATATTCAACATTCAATTTCTTAAATTTTGTTAACCTTCATCAGACACATTTTTGTTAGTGCCAGTCAGGTAAAACAATAGGCAATCAAATACAACTGAATTCAAGGCCAAAAATATAGTTGCATCTACCCACAATAACCAAAAAGTAATTTTGGTACATATATGAAAACACAAAGCTTTATAGAAATGACTTGTCACATTGCCAGCACTTATTAACCTCAAGCACGGTAAACAACTGTCGATCAGCGATACAAATGCCAGGACTCTAAATGCCAGACCCTCAAATCTAATACTACGCCCGATCTCACCAGAACAGGTGTGCGTACTATCACTCAGCGCTAAATTCAGAGATCCCAAATTGAATCAAAGGCCCTGGTAAGTCCTTCCCTGAAAAAATGAAAACGTAATTCCCCCGTTGGCATGGTAACCCATGATGAAGGTCATTATTTGCTAATCGAATTGATTGCGTGACAGTCACACTTAGGCACTTCAAATTAAAGGGTTTTACAAATCTCTGCCCAAGCATATACTCAAACTGCAAACTTCTTTATTCAGATTTGGTCTACTCTGGGCTCAACAAAGGAGTTGGATCCAAGGGCAAGTGACTCATGATATATAAAATTCAGGATGACCCCCACATTCTAACAAATGTTCCTAGAGGGGAATTATTAGAGAAAAAGCAGAGGCCGATCAGTGGGGGGGGGGGGGGGGGGGGGGGGGGGGGGGGGGGGGGGGGAGGGGGGGGGAGGGAGGGCAAGAGGAGGATTGTTTTGTTGTTTACATGTGATTGTTTTTATTCTTCTTTTTCTGTTTGTACATTTTCCTGGTAATTACCTTCTTCTTTGTATAAAAGCTGGTGGAGATATCTGCTTTATTTCTAGATGCAGAGTTACATGTACAATGCACATGTATAGGGTCAAACAGAAGCAAAATATTGCTGATGCACTAGTCTTTATATATGATCCAACATTGCTCTACATACATACTCATACAAAATTACATTTTCTGCAAAAGTATGATTCAGAACCATACTTA